TTATTCATAGTGAATCTATGAATCTATGTCTTATATTGATAGTTTAAAAGCAGAATGAATTAGAATAAAAATGTTAGATACCTACATCACGACACTAATTTTACGGGGTGAACAATAATATAGATGGGTTAGGTCGTACTTATTATACCTTACGTTTGGTCCAACGTTTTTCGAAGAGGAAAGAAAAAAATACATTAAAATTAGAAAATGCAAAACATATCGTATAAGGCGCTTTACATATAGGCTGGAAGGCATCCTTTGGTCGATGCAGTGGCAGTAACGTCACATGGGGCAACATCCTACTGAACAGTAATTAATTCATAAGCATTCAGATTTGTCTATCGCCTGAATATCACCGTATTCGGACCTACCTTTGACTTACCATCCGTCGGGTTAAATATGGAAAAATTTACCAATCTGATATAACAAAATTAATTGAGATTTTTCCATAAAAATATACATAAAATTCCAACATTAATTTCATTCACTGTTTTTGAACACAATAACATTTACATTTTATTTTGCTGATTTTATCGAGCTAATATTGGCTTTTTATTGTAATAGCGTTTTTTTTTTTTATTTTAATGTATTTATTTCGGTTTTGATGACACGTTTTTTTTAGTTGTTAATAATTAACATTTATGAACGAAACTTTGAACGTTTAAAACGCTTGCAAAAAAAAACGCAATACATATTTTATTAAAAAAAAAATCCCGCCTTCGTAGTAAATCTTTTGTAAGAGAAATTTACAGTAGACTCCCACGGAGAGTATTACGAACTATTTTGAACTGATTTTAAATAAACTATGAACAAACATCTAACTAATCGATAAATTATTAGCTACGGCTATCTTTCTTAGAATGAATATATTAAAATAATTGATAAACTGTAAAACGTATAAATGTATTATGCGCGGGATTAGAGAGACTACATAATTAATACTATCGCATTGTCCGATGCACAGATAATTCTAACAAAGCTGAATTGTAATTAATATAAAAGTAACCGACCATGTTTTATTGGATGTTTCAAGCAATTTAATTTTTATAAATGTGACAAAAATATTAAATTGAAACTTTCATTAATATTTATTATAATCAAAGTGGCGCAAAAAACAAAACCTTCTGCACCATCATTCCAAAAGGTTCCGTTTTGCACCGCGTAATGATTTCTTGAACTGACATTAAAATTCATCCGAAATACAATTTTTTTTAAATAAACTTTTAAATACCAACATGTTAATTGATTATTTTAATAATCAACTTTCGTAAGAAAAGAAACGACATGAGAAAAAAAATTACGTTCAACTAATTACAAGTAAGGGAAATATTTTATAAATTTACGCCAACCCATTTTCAATGATTAATTAGCATTTTAAATTGACCGAAAGTTGCAGGCAAACTAATACTAATTAAAAACCATAACCAGATCTAAAAACATAGAAGGAAGAAGGACCCCAAAATGTAACGTGGATAAAACGTGAGCGCACTTTAAATACGAAGCCACTATTTGCAATATGAGCGAAGACAGGTACATAAATAATTTAATTATTACCGCGTAAATGTAGTGCGCAATTAGTCTAATAACTATATAATTAGAATGTAGAAAAATAGATACATACACGCAACCTCAGTAAACATTACCGAGGAGATGGCGGGCGATTAGGCATATAAAAAAGTCAGTCAGTCTTCAAAGACAATGAAGCGTCTTCCATTGCGACAGGCTCGCAAAAAATAACACATTTTTTTTTAACGACGGTACTCAATTATGCAAATAGAAAATTTTAATAGCGCGAAAACATAATAAAATCATAACTATTTTTTTTCCCTATGAAGTTCACGAACCGTGAATGCCACGCGATTTGTTGAATTTATATTATTACTAGCGTTTGTTTTTGACATCCTCTAAAATTATTAATGTTTCTCTACTATAGTATGCATGAATTATACATATAAACCTTCCTCTTGCATCACTCTATTTATTAAAGAAAAGCGCTTTTAATATATAGAGACAGCATAACGACTTTGTTTTGTACTATGTAGTGATAGTGATCCTAATTATTGCATTAATAATAACGGTAGAATTACCGTCACCTTCACACTCATAGTCTTCAGTTAGCGTTTAAATGGCATTGAATTAATTTAATAGTCGATTTGCTTCTCACTAATAATTCTTCGACTGTGATTTCGAACACAAAACTTACAAAGTTAAATAAACTATTTGCGGGCAGATTTTTATAAGCATACATAGGGACAGACAGCGGGACGACTTTATTTTATACTATGTAGTGATTCACAAGTTTTAATCATTAGAAGAGTTTGGCCAAAACGAGTTTAACTCTTGTTGCAGATATGTATGTTATTAGTATTTTTAACTTAACAATAACAAACGCTCGCCCATAATCCCTCGTGTTTATTTATGATTTTCTTTTCCAAGGAGTCTCGAAATAATATTCGAATAATATAGGAGCCTCTCTGATCTGTGATCCCTCGTAGAGCACGTAAATCCATTGTTCTAGACTTTTTGCGATATGGGGCTTGTTTATTAGGAAATGGAAGAAACTTCATTGTTAGCGATTTAGTGAGGTCGCGTATGAGGAATATTTACGAGTATACATATTAATGTATGTGTGTGTGTCTTTACAATCGCGACAATAAATGAACACACATATAGAGGATAACTTTTTAAAATTGTATTAAACATTTACATAATTTAAACATCAATATTTACAGAGTTATTAAATTTTCCAAAACAAAGAATTTTAGAACACCCTTACGTATAAAACAGTAACGTAAAGTTCATTTGTAAAGGTCACAAAGTATATGAATAGGATGAATGAATTTAAAAGGACAAAACATACTGTTAGGAGATGCTTGTAATGCGACGCTGTGGCAACGAATGAAAAAGTCTCTGAATGTATGAATCAGTCAGTTATAGTTGTATATGATGTGAAAAATTGTGTTTCTTTTTTACTTAATTAGTTTGTTTGAAAAATATTTTTTTAATTATGGATTTTTTTGTAACGTTAATATTTTTTTATGATTATGTGTTCATTTATTGTCGCGATTGTAACGACACGCTGTATACCATTAATGTCTTTGTACACAAAATGGACTAGACAATTATAACATTTACAATGCGTTCCTCGGCCAACGGTGGATTAGGATGACCGACTTTGTTCAAATTTTTAACCCAATCCGTATCTAAATTGATCTGAGATCTATATTAGTAATTAAATGAAAACTATTTACAAGTTTAGTACCTATATATACAATGTAGCAAAAGAGATTCTCCGGCCATATATACTTAGCCAGTAATGGTACAACGCATGCACGTTGGGCTTACGAACCGAGGTCGCAGATACGAATCCTGGTCACTTGCATATTGGGTCCAAAAATCTCTATTAAACGCAGACAGCTATGACTCTATCTAGGAAAAGGATGTAATATCAGATAACCCAATGCTTTGTGAATAGATTTTGCGAGAATTGCGTTAAGGTGAATAGAACTTTAATTCGATACGGCTTAAGGTCGGTTTTTTAAAACGAGGTATTTCTTGTATTGATGTGGTATATATTTAACAGCTATTCTATTTCTCTTCTTCAATTGCGGTAACATTGGCTACTCGAGAGAGAAAGAGGGAGACAACAGATAAAAGTTTGGAAGCTGTATATACACAGTGGACTCAAACGTATTCTAGTTTTTAAAGGTAACTATGTTGACAATTCAAAGTAGACATTAATTACTCAGACGCCATACGAACTCACAGACCTTCGTGAAGTGCACGTTTTATACTTCTGCGGTTTCGTCTGGTAAACGAGGTGGCCACGCGTCTGCAACCCTACGGGTGCAAATGTCAATGGGCGGCGGTTACCACGTAACATCAGGTGAACCGCCACCTCGCTTGCCAACTACTCACATAAAAAAAAAACATATGAATAGTCTATGTCCATATATTATGTCGTTGATATTTAACAACTACTTAAAAACAGGTCGACTTTATTCGTGTTGAAACCGTATTAGAACTTTGATCCTGGCCATTTGGCTTTGAACGCGACATGTTTGCAAGAGAATCTTTTACGTTCAACAGCTGCATATACGAATTGCATTAAAATGAAATAATTGACTCTATATGTATGTACACTTACGTAGTAAATTGATATATTTCATATAAAAGGAACAAAATATTTATTAAGACATTAGAAAAGTCGTCTAATCTGACTGTTGATCGAGGAACGCGGTGATTAAAACAACAAAGTGCGAAAGTTGTAAAATGCATCAATTACTTGCGTAAATGTGTGAAGTGTATGAAGAAAAATGTATGTGATAGTGTGGAAATGTATTGTTTTCCTATAATAATTTTCAAAGTTGATAATAAATCTGTAACTTGGCAAACATGCGGTATTAATGTAGTGTTATGAAACTAACAGTGAATTAATTTGACAGTTTACGAATAATGAGAGAATTTCGTAAATACTAAAGCAGTGCTACAATATACATGCAAGCGTGTGTGCATACAGTACTCGGCGATAATTATAGCCCATCGAGCTTTGGAAAGAGACAATCGACTAACTTCGGATTGGTAGAGCGTTATCTCTATCACACACTTGTAGGACGACAGTCGAACATTACTTTGAAAGAGTTTGCCTTTATCCAAAGGGCGATGTGCAATATTTATCACAGAGTACTATATATTATATGATATGTGTTAGTAAAATGTCTTTTTAATATGTATTATATTTCTATTAAAACTTAGCAGTTAATAACATATGTACATAGACGATATTGAAATCGGTTACTGTGCAAACTGTACAGTGCATGTGTGTGTTAATGTGCATATGTCTTTGTGCCAACGCGTGTGTTTTTGTGTGTGTATGATTATGTACGTGCGCGTACGGCAGTGCGTTAGTGTGCTCGATGCTCAAGCGTTATATATACACAATAAAGTTACGTATATCACAAGTGTAAAGTGAAACTTTTTCACGGAAACACAATTGTCTAGTTGTGCATAGTGTTTTTGCACACGTCCAACAGGTCTGTCAGTTGTGAGAGCTTCGCGAAGGCCTCCTGCAGCATGTCCCTGGAATGGAATCGAACCTGTAGTATTGGGCCAATCGAGGTCGACGGTGGCGACATCTGCAGGGTTACCACATGCCGGTTTCGCTGAGTAATGGCTGATGGAACGTCGCAAAATTAAGAGATTATAGCTAAAATTACCTATTAATTATACAACTGGGCGCATATGTATTATTGAAAGCAAAGAATGATACATTGTGGGGCTAAAGATTTGAGACCTCCTAGTAATAAACAAATGTACACATCTACGTAAGCGTCTTATATCCTGAATATTTTTCTATTGCGTCTACTTTCGTTAAAATTCACCGTGTATCGTAAAAACTAGAGACATATTCTATAATTATTATTATTATGAAAGAATGCCTACATGGCAACACCGAACAGGTGTGAAGTAGCCGAGAAGTGCAAAAATTCTTTTTTTAGAACAAGTTTTCTTTTAAAGTTGGATAATTTTATCCCACTTTAAAAGAATTTTTTTTTATCTTTACCATTAGTGTCGTCACACCTTTTTATAACTAAACGGTTTATTGCTCGCCTATTACAAAACTCCTATGGTGTCGTGCTTTTATTAAAGTTTTCTTTACTCAGCGGCGGTCTGCACTATCAGTGTTCAAAGACCGTTATACACCTCGTGCCGACACATCATGGACTCTACGCCGCTGGAAATAAAGCGGATAGTGTGAAACACACCTGTTCTTCATACAGAATATCCTCAAATCGTCGCGGCGGACAATGCCACCGTCCACCGACATCAGAGAGAGGCTCTCCTTCAAGGCTGACTCCAGACGAGAGACCTGCTCCTCCATCACAGCATCAGAATTCTCCACGCTGAGCACTCTGTAGGGGGAAAGAGGGAATAAGGGCCCTGAAGGTCCACGAATGGCGCTGTGTGTCCTAGTTTTTACTGTGGCAGGACACGCAACAGTCTTCGCTGTTGCACGAATGGGCAGCTCCGTCCGGTGAAGTACCACGACCCACTAGAAGAACGGCGTAAAGTGGCAGTATTATACTTTTGCGTTTGGTGAGTTAGGTAGCCAAGGCCCTTTTGCAACTCTACGCGTGTTGCAAATGTCCATGGGCCGTTATCACTTAACATCAGGTCACCCGCCAGCCAGCTTCTCACATAAAAAAAATCAAGAGTCATTAGAATTAATTTAAAAATTATATATTTTATATAATTTTATTATATAATTAATTATATCTATATATATCAAAGAAATGGACCATGTAATTAATTAATAATTTTTTTCGTTCAAATTTATATTGAAAATATCAATTGCGCAGCGTCAGAAATTAAAAAAAATATCTACTGAAATATTTATCTTATAACAATCATTTACTATTACTCACTTACATTATAACAATGAAATGCAATATTTCATACTTATTATCAACAGTAAATACATTAATTAGTATAGTTTACGTCTATAAATTAGTTTAAATAACCCAATCCGCACAGCTGATGGCTGATAGTACCGACATCTCGGAAAATGGGTTGGTGCCATCTGTCCGACGGGCTAACTCTATTGCCGCGCGCGCTCATTGGTCGAATCAAATAGCGCGCGTACTTTATTCGAACCAAATAGCCCGCGCACATTAGTCTAATCAAATAACGCTCCCTCATTGGTCGAACCAAATAACGCGCGCACATTATTCGAATCTAATAGCGCTCGCTCATTGGTTCGATCAACAGGTCGATCATTATGGTTCGATCAATGATTCATTGCTTGCTCGCTCGCTCATTGGTCGAACCAACCAAATAGCGCTTGCTCATTGGTCGAACCAACCAAATAGCGCTCGCTCATTGGTCTAACCAAATAGCGCGCGCACATTAGTCGAATCAAATAGCGTGCGCACATCAGTCTAATTAAATAACGCTCCCTCATTTGTCGAACCAAATAACGCGCGCACATTATTCGAATCAAATGGCGTTGTGGGTAGTGTACCTGCCTCCTGCGCCAGAGGGTGTGGATTCGATCCCCACTACTGGAAAAATATTGTGTGATGAATGTTTTTCTAGTGGCTGGGTGTTTATTATATATGTATAATATGTATTTATTTAAAAAAGAAAAGTATATTTAAGTATGTTTATCAGTTATCTAGTACCCATAGTACAAGCGTTGCTTAGTTTGGGACTAGAGAACGTTGTGTAAAACTGTGTCCTAAAAAAAAATATTATTTATTTAAATAGCGCTCGCTCATTGGTTCGATCAACAGCGTGCTTCCCCTTCCGTCCCTTATCGCGAGGTCGGTCGCAGTTTGCGCGAGAGCGAGAGGAACATATACACACCCCTTGATCGCGAGCGCGAGCGCGTTCGCGTGCCCACGGAAGGCGGCCCAGCGGTGGGACAGCGAGTCCGCAGTCTGGTGGCCGGCCAGGCCGTCCGGCAGCCCGTGCGGCACGCCCAGGCACGCGCACAGCTTCGCGCTGCGTCGGCCGTTGGCGGCCATCGACAACACAAACGCTCATTAACGGCCGCTAACGACCATTAAATACTATTAACGGTCGTCAACGATTATCAATTGTGATCAACGATCGACACCGACATTAACAGTCTTTAAAGATATTTACAACCAGTAAATCAAATCAAACCGCTCATTCATCGACATAAGAAACATACGTTGCATCTATCGACAGAATTTTTTTTTAAATCAACCAACGTTTCCTACTGAGGATCGTCAAATTAAATAATGTTAACAGTCAATGACAATCATTAACTGTAGTGATCAGTCAGTAACAATTATTAACAATCGATAGCAGTCTTTAACGACTATTAATATTACCAAAATCAATCGCGGCACTCCCAATATTGGTCTTAGATAACTAGTAGAACATTCGCACTCAGAATCTAATGTATTTGAGTCAAAATTCATATATTTTTTTAAATAACACATCAGCAGAGCAATTATACTACATATTAAAAAATAAAAAAAAAACATAAAACATCTAGTTATGATAAATGTATAATATTAGACAAAAGAACACTGGTACAATATTATGTATGAGTAAGATACAAAGACAAAAAAGGTTTACATACTAAGATTAATGTAAAAATGTTGAGCTACTCACCAGTAGCTGGAGAAGAGGGTCCAGACGTTCTCGAAGGCTTCCACGAGCTTACTGAGGGGAGCGGTGGTGTTAGCGGTTAAGGGGGCAACAGAGGGGGCGTTGGCGGGGGCGGGGGCGTTGGCGGGAGAGGGGGCGTTGGTGGGAACGGGGTCCCTGAGAACGTGGGAATTGGCGGGAGCGGGGGAGCTGGCTTCAGAGAGGGAGTTCACCGCCGTTTTCGCAAGCTCCATGTAGTCCGGTATGATTTGGCACTTCTTCGCGATGTCCAAGCAGAGCTCTTTGAAGGCGTCCACGTCAGACTCGGAAATGGCGCGCTTACCTGCAACAAGTTAGGACGTGTGTTACTTTCAAACATATCATATGTGTAATTAAAAATATGTAGGTGATTGAGTACATTTTAATTAATTTCAAGTAACATTCCTCGTATTATGAATTTACAGTGGTAGGGCCATACAACAGTCTTCACGACCTCATAGAAGACCGTTTTGTATGTTGATTGAGGTAACCGGAGCCCACTTTATAAAAAGGTGGCAACGGTTTTGCAAATCTACGGGTGTTGCAAATGACCATGGGCGGCGGTTATCACTATATATCAGGTGACTGCCAGCCAAAATTAAATATGAATTACTTGTGGGGACATGATGGTTCAAAATAGTCAACGTTTTGTAGGCGCACCATTGGAACATATAAAATAAGCAAAGTTATTAGTGTATACACAATTCATTATGAAGCTACAAAATTCAAATTAAATTTCCAAGTGTTGTGCAACACATGTTTTGCACCACATGTTGTGCAATCCATGCTATGCACAATACGGTGTGCAACACATGTTTTGCACCACACGTTGTGAAACATGTCGTGCAACGGTTGTTGTGCAACATACTTGTGTCGTGCAAAAGGTGTTGTGGGGGGCGTACCGGCGGAAATGGTGGCGGAGTGGAGGGCGGCGAGGTCCGCGAGCAGCCGCTCGATGCGGGGGAACACTTCGCAGAAGACGGTGCGCCAGTGCTTCAGCAGGCTGGCCAGCACGTCGCCCAGCTGCCACGGCGGCGCCCGGTGCACCACGTGCTGCCACAGCAAGCCGTACCTCGCGCGCATCTCGCTCTAAGGACGATCCTTTCATAATCACTTCACGGTATAAAGCAAAGACGCTCCGCTGTCTGTCCGTCCCTATATATGCTTAGATCTTTAAAACTACGCAACGGTTTAGTAAGGTTCATATGTTTAATACATTGCACCCGTGCAAAGCTGGGGCGGGCTGCTAGTAAATAAATAAATGGTTATTTCGGGGCACAATCTTACGCATTGGCACAAAAAATCGATATTAGTTTGTTGTTAACACTGTCATGAAAGTGTACTACGCTAATATACAGCGTGTCGTTGCCATCGCGACAATAAATGAACACACATATAGGGGATAACTTTTTAAACTTGTATTAAACATTTAAATTCTTTAAATATCAATGTTTACAGATTTGTTAAATTTTCTAAAACAAAGAATTTTAGAACACCCTTACCTAAAAAGCGTAACGTAAAGTTCATTTGTAAAAGTCACAAAGCATATGAATGGGTTGAATGAATTTAAAAACGACAAAACATACTGTTAGAAGGAGAGGCTTGTAATACGACGCTGTGGCGCGAGCTGTATAGGATGTTACAAATTTTGTTTCCTTTTTACTTAATTAGTTTGTTTGAAAAATATTTTGTGTGTGTGTTTTGACGTGTGTTCATTTATTGTCGCGATGGTAACGACACGCTGTATATATATATATAGTATAGTACCTCCAATATATTAGCGAGCAGCTGATACATTGCGTCCTCGTACTGTTTCATCCGCGTACTGAGTTGAGGGTCGGTATCCGGATCTGGTCTATCCTCCATCATGTACCGCAAGCCTTCCACACCTATCCTCGGCACGTTGTTCAAGGTCGCCTTGTTGCACAGGTTCTTGTCCTCGCTGAGCAGGAGCTGAGAATAGAGTCAATATACATCTTAGTTATAATCTTAAATATATCTCATATATAATTCTTACATCTTGTCCTGAAGAAAAGAATGCTTGTACTATATTTTTACACAGATTAGTTGCAAATTTTTGTTTAAGCTGTGGTAGTGCCACGCAACAGCTTTGGCTGTAAGTGCCACGACCACAGAAGGCTGGCGTGAAATGAAAGTGTATGTCCACGGGCGGCGGTTATCGCTTAACATCAGGTGAACCGTCAGATCGCTTGCTATATTCTCACATAAAAAAAAATCACGTACGATATTCCCTTTCGAAGCTCTCTTCTCACTTATTTCACTTATTGGTGATCCATCGAAGTCAACCATCACAGACAGCATTTCGAATTGGATCATACATTTGATCTACTCGGCACTCGCGAAACAAATATTAATCCCACGATATACTCTTCAAATTCGGTACGATCGTTTAGTAATTACGAGGTAGCGCATTGACAGACATACAAAACTTGATGACTCGATGGCGCTGTTGCTAAGCTATCGGCTTCGGCGTCAGGGGCCGTGCGTTCGATTACCATACGGAGCAAGTATTTGTGTGACCCACAGATAATTCCGGCTCTGGGCGTTTGTTTCCCAATGAGGGTTGACGTAAAACATGCCCAAAACCGTTGTTGTGCCGACCCCACCTAGGTGGGATAAGGGCAAGAGGATGATGATGAACACGACACGGTGCCAAACACAAGCCCTCGCTTTTCGCGCAGTCGGGTAAAAAGAGGATATCATCTTACCACATTTTTTCCCCGCTCGATTTGTTGCAGACAGCAATTCAAGACCTCGTCGTCGTTCATCTCGCAAGGGTATATGTGGCAGTTAGCATCGCGAAGGGATTGGCCTGTTAATGCATCAATTCTATTTATTCCTACCCACAAAGTATCTAATATTTCGCTAAACTTTCTTTTTAAAATATAACTATTTTAAGATCAGCACTATTAATCAAAAAGGAAAACTTGTCTAAACCACTTCCAAGTGATAGCGATATAAGGTATCGGAAGAGCTATACATGGGGCTGGGAACAGAGAAGACTATCGCTATCTCATTCGCACCGCAGTCCGAATCTCTCCCCCCACGTTCACGTACAGTCGCGTTCAATTTTTTCATTCGGTTTCATGCACGCAGTATTTTATTTTTTTTACAGTGCTAATCTCTGCACTTAAGATTGAACATTAAAATATGTAGAAAAAGTACGAAAAGATTGCCGCCGCTGTGGGAATCGAACCCACGTCTTCGGAATTCGCGGCCTGACGCTTTAACCACTATCGGCTTCGTCGCCGGTGTTCATGGGTTCAATTCCCAGCACGAGTAAGTATTTGTAATAAATACTGCTAACAACATGACTCACATATTCAACTCAACCGACCACACCTCGGTGGGGTAAGAACAGAACAATGGATAGCGATGAAGTAGCAGTACATAGATAGCAAATACAAAACTAAAATGATGAAGGTTCCCCCGCTAAGTGCACTAATTTTAATAATGCCAGACCGTGATCATCAGCACACCATCCCATGGTCTCTCATACAAATCATCGGCTGCATTCATTACAACAATTAGTATTAATAGAACTTGAATCAACTTTTTTCTACAAATTTTAAGGAATCATACCTTTGATCCTGTCGTTTTCTGGTAGCGATTTGTACAAGAAATCCATCGCCGCGCGGGCCTTTTTGCAAACCGCCCCAGATCCGTTGTTGGTGTCCTTCATTTTGTCCAGTTCGTTTATCACGCGCCAAGGTATGAACAATGTAGGCTTTTCGCTGTAGCCATGGAAAGATCGTAAATGCAATGCACATTAAGAAAAAAGAAAACAGTAAAAAAAAGTTTCTTTCGCCGGTTCCTCTCAGGTCAGTCCGATATGGTATTAGTATTTTGACAATCAATAAGCGAGTGTAATACTTCCATATTAAACAAAGAAATTTGAATATGAAAAAAAAACGGACTCATCGAGGATTATTCATTATTATATGCTTTATTGTACACCATAAAAATATAAAAAAAAATGTTACAAAAAGAATTTAAGAAGTAGAGTGATGAGTACAATAAGGCGGTCATTATCTATAAAAACGGTCTGTTGGAACCTTAGATTCTTTTTATTTGTTTTTAGTATTTGTTGTTATAGCGGCAACAGAAAGACATCAGAAAAATTTCACTGTCCAACTATCACGGTCCATGAGATACAGCCTGGTGACAGACGAACAGACAGCGAAGTCTTAGTAATAGGGTCCCTTTGGGTACGGAACCCAAAAAGCTATCACCACGGAGAGTGCTGACGTTAGTTATATCGTCGCGTACACATATTATTAATTATTTTTCGGCTAGCTAGTTAGTTGCGTTTAATTGTACTAGAGTCACGCAACGTCTGCACGAATGTTCTTGCACGAATGGAAATGCTCGTCTGGGGAAGTACAGCCTCACAGAAGACCGGGCGTTTCGTCTGGTTAGTGAGGTAACTTGGGCCCGCTTTATTAAAAGAGGGCAACGCATCCGCAGCCCTACGGGTGTAGCAAATGTCCACATTATCACTTAACATCAGGTGAACCGCTAGCTCGCTTGCCATCTTCTTACATCAAAAAAATCATATCCACACTTTTATTTATTTATTTATTTATCCTTTATGCACTAAAAGTACAAAGGCGGACTTAATGCTGAAGGCATTATCTCCCAATCAACCTTAGGGTGGTACAGAGAAGATTGGGTAGGTGCACAGAAAAACAAAAAAAGAAAAACTACAACTGAAACTTACAAGGTACATATCTGATATTATTTAATAAGTAATATTCTAAAATTATATACTACATAAGAAGATTACTTTTACACATGGAGTTGGAAACAATGTTTAACTGCCCTAAATAATAAAATTATAACAGTGAATTAATTTGATGTTTACGATTACCCTTTCAATATCAAGGACTCAGGAATCTAAAAGTATGGTATAAGAAATAAAATTAATTCAGCTAATGCGCTCCCCAAAGTCTATACAATATGACATTTTTATGGGAAAATATAAAACTTAACTCTTAACAAAAGTCATAATTACCTTTAAAATGTGAATTTACGACATTCCTTAGAAAAGAAAGTTCATGTATAAAAACATTTGTGTCAACGACTATTACAAAATTTGTTTGTGTTATACTAACATTACACATTTCATTTTCTGCTTGTGGCCTTGGTGGCTCAATCTGAAAGAGATTTCGCTGGTTTTTAAAATTGCATAAAGAATTTTAATATAATGAGAAATGAACACTAACGCCGGGTTTCTGAAACACTGATCATGGTAGATGTCAACTAATCAGCCATCAAATGGCTTTTCAAATTTCATTTTAGTTGCCAAAAGGACGGTTAAACTCTCTGAATTGACCAGAATGATCTTCTAATGATCAGAACGATCAATCCAAAGAGTTTAACCATCCTTTTGGCAACTAAAATGAAATTTGAAAACCATTTGACAGCTGATTAGTTGACATCTACGATGATCAGTGTTTCAGAAACCGGCCGTTAATCTATTAACATTATCAAGTGGCTCCAATACATTTGTTGTGGGCATAACCTTGGTCTTGACTCATCCGACCAAACTCTTCTATTTGCATACTCATTACCTGTTTTTTGTCCTTTTCCTCTGACAGCATGTGAAAATAGCTAATTTGAATTAAAATTATCAATTTAGTTTTGCTACATGCTACATATGAGCTTGCATATGGCGCTTATATGGTGGCTTCAGCTGTTATTGAGACATTACTCTAGAATAACGTAGCGAGTCACTGGAGGACAAAGAAGATGTAATACATTTAAGTTTCTTTTTTCATGTTTCCTTTGGATAACAAAAATTTTGAAGATTAACAGAGAAAGCAACAAGCAAGGGCCATAAACATTTGAGAAAAAGGTAGATAAACAACTGATATCTGCAACAAGTAATATTTTGCCAATTTCTTGATCTAATATTCAAAATTAAGCTAACCTCTTTAACATCCTCCACCTCCATTGCTTCTGGACTTTTCTCAATAGCACCTGACATATGACACTTCTCTGTGGTCTCCATTTTGCTCTGCTGTATTTGCACTGACTGTGCTGTATTTGTAGTTTCTGTTAAGCTTCTGCGTAATGTCTCCATGCGATCTTTAGCATTAGCAAATGTCATTACACTTTCTTCCTGAGGAACCATTACTTTATAAGTCAGCTTTGATTTGATTGCAGAGACAAGTTTATTAGCTTCAGAAAACTGTGGCGGTGTTGCAGGATGCTTGTTAAACGGATACTCAGGGGTCTGATTGCAAATTCCTTGCTCAATATCGGCAAAAGTATCTTTTTGCTTCTCTTTAATGTAGTATTCCTCTGGTAATTGAGCTTTCATTGATGATATAATTTTATTTGCCGCCAAAAATTGAGATGGAGACGGTGTAGATTGTAAGCTGTCGCTGCCTGGAGACTGTGATGTGATTGTACATTTTGATTCATTCAAATTTGGACTTTTAATCTCAGATTTGGGAGTCTTAACAGGAGTTTCATGTTGATTACATTTTGGAGTTACTTTAGGTCTTTTACTTTCATTGTTCTTACAATTCTCTTCGGCAACTTCTTTTGACAAATTACTTCTTAACAAAGACAGTCTGCTATTGGCCAAATTTTTTGTTAAAATCTTTTTTGAAGATTGACTTGTGTTTGCACTCACATTGGTATTAACTTTATTGGTATTGTTGGAGGTATCCCTTCTTGAATGAGACTCTTTTTGATGTATTACTTTATGATGTGTCATTTTTCTATGTGCCTCTTTGTGATGACACTCTGCAAACACATTTAAATAAAAGATCTTCTCCATTAGATAATAATGAAATATTTGTTATATCTTTACACCTTCATAATACTATATATTACAACAATTCGTTTTTAACCAATTTAAGCATAAAATACCTTAAACATTAGAATATTATAAAAGGCTTAAAATTAATCATAATACATACCAAATGAAACTTTTAATAATCACACAAAGTTTTGTTGATGAACTTTTGAAAATAATACATGTTGGGGGTACCCTAACTAAGTACAAATAAGGCCATATTTTTATCATAAAAAATGGATTTTTTCACAAGTTTAGCCTTTTAATTACATTTTGAATAATTAAAACATTAATTAATCACCTTTCTTGTACTTCTCTTTTGATGGTAAATCATTATTTCCTTCACTTTTTCTTTTCAACGCCCTTTTACGTATTTCTTCTTTTTTATTTTTTTCCTGAATACGCTTTTTTTCCATTTTCGCAGCCTTTTTACTGCTACATGGTTTATCCACAGCCTTGAAACAAATAGTCCATCGTAGTAAATGGGTTTAATAAACATTCCTTGGGCTAAACGTTTTACGTTGGTAAAGACATTTAAAAAAATAATTACGAAATTACCTCGGGCTTAGTCCAAGATGATTTACCAGTTTTTCTGTTAAAATAATACTTTCTTCCCGGATTAGACTTTGATTTACACAGGACCCAACCATCCAGTAACTTTGTACATACGTCTTTATCGAGATTCATCACTCTATTATTTTAATTCATGCCAAACTATGTTCAAACAAAAATACTGCTAATTTGAGAATCTTTTCTCCTGTCTGTCTCAAAGAGAATGTAATCACTACGTCTAAGAGACGGGACTTCCATACTAGCCAAAAATATCAGTTTACGCGGCACTCCAATACCAACCATACCACAAAAATACCACAAAGATGTCAAACAACAGGAGGACCAACGTAACGAGACAAATAGTGCTTAACCAAGCTAGCTTAGCTTCTTATCGATAAAATATACAAGGTAGAAAGCGAGGTTTCCACTTAATTTTTTTAAGGTAAGTATCAAGTCCGTATTTATATCTAATGTTGCCCCTCATCAACATTAGATATAAATACGGACTTATTCGGTACTAATACAAGATTGGACTTAAATGCGGACCCGAAATAAGATAAAAAACGGTTTGTGATAATTCAAATAAAATTTTATTACTGAAATAAAATTTATTTCTTGTCTGTTGATTCTTCAGCCAACGGCTGTTGTCTTGCTGTACACGAGTCTGGAAATAATTGAAACATAAAAATGGAATCAAAATCCAAAAATTATTTTAGTTTTCTTGCATACTCAGCGCACGAAATTAATTATATGACGTATCAATATTACAGAGATTATGTTTCAAAATCTTGCAAAATTCACCTATTCCGATCCTTACTCACTTATGTAGGCACACCATTCAAATATTATGTAAAACTTTGTGCCTCTACACGCAATAATTTTTTTATCGATATGTGGATATTACAGTTGCAGTACATCACTAGCACACAATTTAAATGAGATAAATTTGTTAATTTTATTTGTTCTTAGCCTGCTCCACTTACATATGGCTGCCAAGTATCATATTTAAGTGCTTACATGGGCTTCATCTAAGGGAAATCTCGCCATAAATGTCCTTTTTTCAAGGTTCAAATGACTTGCCCGATTTTCACCAATTTCACAGGTATTAAGCCGTCTTTTTGGCATTTTGAATTAAAGTACAACTTTGATCACCTGTCACTAGTTTTCGTTAGAAATTTTACTCTAAACAATTTAAATTTACAATGAAATAAGCATTTATATTCAAAATACGCGGTGCAAAATTAAGTTTTGACAAACAACATGGCACTTCTTGTATTGCAAGAAAGAGAAACCGCATTGAGGGAGAGTGATAGCAATGTCCGCCATTATTTGCCGCGTAAAGTCCATAGAAAAATTTTTTGTTCCTAGTTCGCCAGACTGGTCTGTCTCTTAAATTCACGTTAGGGCTGTCACCGTTCCTGCATCCTGTTCATAAATCAATAAATATGCCAGATGTCGATTTTTAATCTGTTTCCAAGATACTTTTCTAATTTTTTAACTTTTCCATTCGCCTTCTTTTCGTCCTTTTTTTTTTGTGTAATTGTAATTTCAAATTTGCTGTTTGCCTGTAGGCTTTGATAGTTTTGTCAGAAGAGAGCAATCAGCGGATACAGGAGAACAATGAAGGTGGTGTTCTTTGCACGACAAAATTATGCCTTCCGTACACAGCAATTCTTCAACCCCTTTTAACGATACATGGACAATTTGACTAAAAAGGGGGAAATACTAGACAAGGGCCCTTTAAATGGAGGCTTTGATCAGATACTTGTACAAGTGTATAATCAAAGGATGGAGGTTTAAACTTCGTCTTGTACTGCATTTGATAGTGGAACCTATACAGGAATAATAATAAAGTCGAAATTGCGGTTTAACGACGATATGACTACGTCCAAGTTATTTATCTCTTAGGAAAATTAAATTACAAAAACAATAATTAACATACGAAAATAATTTTTGTACAAAACTCTTACGAAAAGATCCATTGTAATCCAAGCCGAGGTTCAAACCTGCATCCGAGGGAGAGCTTTGGATCGTGTCGTGCTTCCGAGTAGTCGAGTTATTATTTCTCGTTAGTAGTGTAGAAGTTGAAGTGGAGCGGATGGTGCGAATCGTCGTCGTGCACCAGCTACGTCTAGTTCGAGTTGGCGGGTCGTCTGCCCGCAGCCCTCTTCCGATTGTAACTCGCACCCCCCTTTATGCATGTATATATATAATTAAACTTATATATTTTTCCCTCATTATATGAATAAATCATATAACATCATTACGTGACCAGGATAAATTATTGATCTTTCTAAAGGATCTTTCTAAAGGTAATAATTAGCCGTATAAATATTATTGTGATCGTCATATTCGGTAGGACCGCATTTACGTTGTGTTTATTTAGTAACTTGATTCTTTTAGGTGGATCTTGGATAGATAAATATTTACTAGTTGTGGTATAAGCCAGAGATAATGCTAGATTGCTTTCTTATTAACTAATCCCGACTCGCTCGAGACGGGCTCAGAGTATATAGTATACTCCCTCTCACGCTTGTAAAGGGCTCACAATATAATTTTTAAACTAATATCCCTTCTCTCTTGAAAAGGGCTCACATCAATTTTACATACCCGATACAAGTCAACAGCTCCCCCACATTTTAAAAAAATGTAGGGAAGGCACACGGCTCCATGAAAACACTCACCAACGCCGTGTGCGGTGAGCGGCAACCAACAAATTGCCCCCCCCCCCCAGAAGAGGGACAAAAAGTTGGGGAAAGGACCGAAGTCCATTGCAAAGCTGTTTTACCAGCATAAAGAGGGCTTGGCCCCTTGGCAGTGCGTAAGCACAAACTTTGACCGAAGTCGCGCATGTCAATGCGTGTAAACGTCATACAAGCCGACGACAAATCCAGTCTTCGTGAATGTACGTCAATACGGTTTTGGGCATGTGTTAAAGATCAGGCACTCTGGCCCTATGATATAATAAGCCCTCCGTAAGCGCCACCACTTTTGCCAGATCGCCGCGACTGCAGACGTGATTGTTAGTGTTTTGGCATCACCACCATTAAAAAGGTTAGCACGACATTTCGTCGCAGAGCGCGTTATGAGTCACTGCTCACCCCAAGGGTATGGTTTAAAACGTTGCACGGCATCGCCGCAGCCTTGAGAGGTTTTCTCCCGCCAGCTACCATCCACATGAGGTAAACGCATATGCTCCACCAACCATTGAAATAGATATAGCCATAGTTGTGATTTTTATGTTTAGCCATCAGAAGGGTTTATAATTGGCAACATATAATTATTTGTCAGTGTCTCTGACGTTGAGTATAGTGTATTTTCGATCAAGTTTGTCTCACCCACCAGCAAGTTGCCATTATTCGTTCGAACGGTGGGAACTTTACTGAGATTCGTTAATAATGATAAAACGTATAAAGAGGTCAGACAGTCTGCAGTTCCGTCATCAGGAACCCGACTTGGACAAAACTACTGAGATGTGCATCAAACCGAGACGCAGACTCGGCCATTATGAATAGCGTCGTCTCCCAAGCAAATGTCGCAAGACGCAATGTCACCAAATGCAACATGCATCAATACAACTATCGCAGGTCAACACGCCAACATACAGCCTATCCGCATACACAGCAGACATCATCACCTCGAACCTCCGTCAACCAGACTCATACGATGCAATGATATTAGGCGCAGATCACCCCGCAAATACCACAAGACGCAGTACTGCATATAGCCGCATGCATCAATGTGACTATCGCGTAGGTGGCACACCCTCACACCACACCAATACAACTCCAATCAACTTCAGCTCCAAAGTTTAGAATATACTCGGAACACACGAAGTGTCCAAACATACTCTTTCACGATCCGAATGATAGTCGACGTATCATAGCGTAAACACTAAGACGCCAACCACCAACGGACCCCCACCCCAGTCAAGCAATAGCCAACGTATCATAGTGGAATACACTAAGACGCAAGCCACCACCAGACTCCCCAAAGTCAGATGATCAGTCGACGTATCATAATGCAACACACTAAGACGCCAACTACCACCAAACTCTTACTATGCCGAATGACAGCCAACGTATCATAGTGATGGTCACTAAGACGCCAACTACCACCAGCTATCGATGATATGTCCACCACTGAAGACATATCCATTCATGGTTCCACGTTTACCGTAGACCATATCGTCGTACAGAAGTACCACGCAACTCCATAGTAATATGTCTTACAAAGTCCCAAGTCATTCATTGCTCTTCATTATATTTATATATTCATTATTTTTTCTCTGAGCCTTCACATATTATTACTTTTATCCATTAGACCTTACTTCCATATGATATTGGTATGGGACGTTCATACAATGTACTTTGACTATAGTACTAGGAGTCGCGATCGACCTCTGTACTTCCATATGTGCGGTCATACAAATGTGTCCCCGCACGGTACATAATACTTCCCTTAGAAATCACTAAGTATGGAATTGTATTTAATGGACATAATAGTGATCGTATCTTGCTATATTTTTAATAAAATATCCTTTTTTGAGTATTTTAAGTGATTTTTAACTATTTTTTATCAATTTTTGGTAATATCATTTTCTCATACTAACACTTATATTTCTTAAATTTAAGTATATATCATTAACTTTTATTGTGACTAAACGTTCTTAAACGTTTTATTTTCATCTTAATTGATCTTTATTATGACTAATTAATAATAATATTTATTATTATTAATAGGTCGTTACACGATGAATCTGTTAAAACCACCGTACTATATCTAATATATAAAATTCTCGTGTCACGGTGTTTGTAATTGAACTCCTCCGAAATGGCTCGACCAATTTTCGTGAAATTTTGTGTGCATATCGACTAGGGTGGAGAATCAGACGTCTATTTTACATTCCCCTAAATGTTAAGGGTGGTCCACCCCAAATATTTTTTTCTGCCCTAAAAATTCCTTAGAAATAATTTATACGGCAAGACAACGTTTGCCGGGTCAGCTAGTTTCATATAAAAACCTACTAAGTTTGAGTAAAAATCGTAACGATATTTGTGGTTAGCTCTACCGATGTCGCCACTTTTTAGTTTTTACCAAAACAGCTGACATAAGTGACATATTTCATATTTGACATAACAGCTGACATAACCTGCAAAGATCTGTAATTTATTAATTAATAATCAAGTTATTAAACATGAATCAATAATATAATAATATATTTGACTATAAAATCCAATAGATAATAAAAATGGAGAGAATTATTAAATTCGGTAAAACGATACGAAACAATTGGAAAAAATCGGTTGTTGGTGTTGTGGCTTTGTATTATGGCGCCGCAACACTAAAGGAAAAGTATGAGTAAGTTGCTAGTCTTTCTCTAAAGAATGTATAACTTATTTATATCAATGAGAGCGTCCATTATTTAATTGATATCATTTTATATTTTTTGTTTTTAATTACCTATAACTTTATGTTTTTAGAATCAACTTGCTTATGCGTGCAGCTTGCAGAGAGGCTGTAAAATATGGTGATTCTTTAATTCCAACGGAGAGGAATCCAACTGTAGTCACAATTATTTTGAATCCTGCAGCTAATAAAAGGAAGGCGAAACGTGACTTTGAGAAATATTGTGAGCCATTACTTCATTTAGCTGGTTTACAGGTGTGCTATATTTATTTTTAATAAATATTATAAGGTATAAATTTTATTTTTGATACGTTACCTAGAAATTGACAGTATTTATTCAACATCCATGATCATTAGTTTTATGACAATGGACATTTACACACACTACAAGACTTCGAAACTCAGAATTTTCATGAATTATACATAATTACCAAAATTAATTACCTCAATGTTTTTGGTAGAATAATGCCATATTAACAGTAATTAACAGGTTGTCAAACACCACATTCCTTCCCATGGCCATGAATACTATGCAATTAATACATAATGTACAGTTGTTTTAGAATATTTCATAATATTGTGTTGCAGGTGGATGTTATACAAACTACATCAGAAGGAAATGCTAAAGAAATTGTAGAAACTTTGCGTGGAACAGAGGCCATAATTGTAGCAGGTGGTGATGGAACTTTCTCAGAAACTATTACGGGTATTATTACTTTTTCTTTTAACTCTGGACTAAAGCAGAGGAATGCAAAGAAATTCACTGGTGAATGTTAAGGTCCCTTACTTTATATGAATTTATCAAGTCCTAGTACAGTATTTGAATATAAGAACAGTTTGTTATTATTGATTGTATAGAATGTATTGGAAAGAATGTGAGCAGGATTTGCCTGACTTAATTCCTATCTCTTTCCATGATAAGATGACTAATTGCTCATCAGGTGTTCATCAACACAACAAGTGTTTATTTTTGAGTGCAAGTAGCACATAATCCGTTATAATCCGTTTATTTAATATGATATTGTAAGCGTTATAAAATTGTTTGCGTTATTAATTTCTAATGTCAAAATAGTAGGATGACTGATAGATGGCCCAAAAATGGAATGAACCTTTTATTACAGCTGATTTTCTTACACCCAAAATTGTATAGTAAAAAAAATATTAGTCTTGTATTATATTAGAACAAACCTTTTTGTTTTAAATCAACTTATTTTTCAGGTTTGTTAAGAAGAAATGACAATGCAAATCAGTTTCCACTCGGTGTCTTGCCACTTGGTCGTACCAATTCCCTGGGAAATAACTTATTCCAAGGGGGCAAGGGAGTTGATAAAGTCAAGCAACTAATTGAGGCCTCTATGGCTATCATCAAAGGGAATACAATTTGGAAAGACGCAATGAAGATTGAACCATTAGTTCAAGACGGAGAAGTGCCAAGCCGACCTATCTATGCAATTACTTCTTTAGAATGGGGAGCTTTTAGGGACACATTAGCGAAGAGAGACAAATATTGGATTTATGGTCCACTCAGAGAGTATGCCTCATTCATTTTCAATGGTTACAAAGAATCTCTGAACTGGAACTGCAGCGGAGTGATAAACTACACACCCCCCTGCGCCGGATGCAGCAATTGCCTGAGAAAACGACCAGAAATTAAGAGGAAATGGAGTTTCTTTATGCCAAACACCCAGACCACCCAGCTGGATAATGGAAGCATTGCCAACCCTGATTGCGCAACATCACAAGAGATATGCTTCAAGACTAGTGACTTCCGAATCAGAACTAGGAATTTCGAAAACACAAACATACCTTCCCTGAGCGTGGTTTTGGGGAAGAATAAATACACTTACTCAGAATTTGTCTCTGAAGGTTGGAGGCGTATACAAGGCTCCGAGGAAAATATAAAATCCATAGAGGCAAGGACAGTGGAACTTCAACCTAAAGAGTCCGGTTCTGAGGTGGTCATTGGTATTGACAGAGAAGAATTTGAAGTGAAACCAATAAAAGTCACACTGCTGCCTAATGTAATTAAGTTGTTTTATAATCCAGATAAAGCAGTTATTTAAATGTTACTAAGTTTTATTATTTATTAATAAACCGACGTTATAACTTAATTTTATTAAAAAAGAATCATTTCACAATTATTATAAAACGAATATTTAACGCTCTGATGAGGTTCATAATTATTACAATGCCGGAAGCTTACTTAATGTTATCAATTGCAAATTATAATTAACAATTTGAATACTAACTTATCAAAACTAAAAAAGTAAAGGTTAATTTATGTTAAAAAAATCCTAAGTGTAATATTTATAATAATATATAAGTTGAGAAATGTTCCATAAGAAAATATATTTACAATATAATTATTTTATTTACAACATTATTTGGCGCGTGTACTCCCAAACAAAGATGGCGGCTGTCACGTGTACGTTTAGAGAACGGATTACGCCTTGTTGCGGAATCTCAACGCAATGGTCCATCAGAGGTAGGAGATCGCAGGGTACGCCTTCCTTTTCGTGCCTGAAAGTGAATTATATACTTTACATTGCACTATCATAAACGCAAAAGTTTGAGTGTCTGTGTATAAGAGCCACATTCCAAAAGCTTAAGGGTAAAAATAATTCCGAATGGACACATTCTTTAAAATGTTATAAATCATATCTAGTAGAATATTTCATGTAAACGACGATAACTCCGACGATTCCAGATACGGAGCTTTAGTGCCGTTTAAGATTACATTTTAGTTCATCATTTCCCCTCCCTCCCCCATACATTCGTTTCATTTCATTTATAAGTAATAATAATAATAATCATTTATTCCTCACCATAATCAACAAGAGTGACTATGAACTTAATTTAAAGTGAAGTTTTAATTATGTGAATTTGAATTTATGATTAATTGATAAAACAAATTTGATAGTTTTTTAGATACTATTTCCATTAATATCAACACTTAATCAAAGAGTGCTTGGATGACTATCTCTAGTCAAAGTACCCTTTATTTTTAACTTTTGTTTGGAGGTCAGTATTAGTTTAGTAGTTTTTTATTATTACTGTACTATTTGCGTTCCATTGTCCGACCGTTCATATGATTAATTTTTATTGCTAGTGTCTGCACTCGTAATGCAACTTAAAATATTTTTTTGTAAATTCATGAACAAAATCTTTTGGCGCTGCGGGATTCAATGCCAGACCAGACGCACATTTTAAATTATTTCATATTTATGTCGTCATGGAGAATTTAAAAAGTTATGCACTTGGATAGTGTCAACCAGAAGCAAAGTCGATTTTTAACAAAGCTGCTTTGAACCTGGCAATGGGACATTTTACGAAAAAATTTTTTTAAAGCGGTCAGGTAAGAAATGTTAATGTTTCCGATTTTGATCATGTTATAACTATATAATATGTCCTGAATGCAAATACAAAGCATTGTACGAGTTCGAGAGCTTAAAAAGTTTGCCAAGCGACGAACCGTTAGACTTTTAAAACTATTAAACTTAAAACATTTGATACTGTACGTGTATTTACAACGTAATCAAACATTACTAAAATGGGAAACATCAAGATTATTTTACCTACCCACTTCACGTGAAATGCCCTGAAAACGAATTTAAGTATGTATTTCTGTTGATGTGCTCAGTTTACCCTAGTAAAAGCAACGTCTTCGAGGGAAACTTGAAGTTGTGCAGAGGACAGCTGGTTGAGGTTTGTTCCGCGGCCACCACCGAATATCCCTCGGCCTTCTTTTTCTTGAGATATTCTTTAAGACCACTGGGTCGAACCTCCTCCAGGTCTATCCAACGCTCTGCGGATACGCTGGAATTTTGAAGCGTTATTTAATTATTGTACTGATCTCAATAATCTCGTTCGATTTCAATATATCCAGAAATACATATTGTGTATATGTTTCATACATAAACACCATATGTATTTATATGATGATACAGATATATGTATATATAAAAGATTTTTTATGCTTTGAGTATAATACCTTTTACTCAGTTTAGGTCTAATTAGGATTCACGTAACTATTTTAAGGTTTTAAAAGCATTATCACAACAAGACAATATTATTGCATTTTCCATAAAATGCAAGCTCAATACAGTAGCGGTAGCCGCTCACATAAACAGCCACCGCAGCTTTATTGAATATTGAAAAACTCATGCAACCAGTAACGGACACAATGTCCACTATGGTCTCCTCGTACCGAACATTAGGAAACAATCGGTCAATAGTGGCCAATCAGTGGCTAGATTCTAAAAAAAAGTCAAAAGATATAATTTTTTAATCTGCGTCCAAAGGCCTTCCATCCTGGGTCTACGCACCTCAATCCCTGGAACTGCTTGTCCTGCAGGTGTCGAAGGCTGTCGACGACGTAAGTCTTGATGCCGAAGACCTCGCTGGTGCGTGCCAGGCCACCCAAATTGGGCAGTTTGTCGATCAGCGACGCTACCACTATCAGCTCGCCTTTATTCCCTTTCTGAACCAACGAAATAACTATCATCAAGTTTATCAAAAATTTTTTCTTATAATAGACGCAGCGTCTGTTGCTGTTACAGCGGCCTCTTAGTCGATATATGGAATAAGCGAGGCTCAGTCTCTAGAAAGTTGACAACGCAACTGCAACCACGCGCGATTTGTAGATGGCGAGATGTGGGCAGGGCTAATGACTTAACATCTCGATTTTCACTTATACCATTAAAAATATAAACGATTTCGTAGGTCGGTTTCGTCATGGAACAGACCAGACTAACCGGCCATTCATGCAATAGTAGAAGTTCTTGTGTTGGTCCAAAATGATAAACACATCTTAAAGAGAACTCATTCTGATCTAAAAGTACGGCATAGTTTTGGTAAAGCGGTCCTAAATCATTGCCAGACTATATAGAATAATACATGCCTTATCTTTGATTTCATACATATTGACGTCGTTCATGTTCTTCCACGGGACATATTTCTTTTGGATTGTGCCCATCTCTTCGACCTCATCGCCCGCTTTAACGTCCGCGGTGAAAATGTCGTAAGTTCCCTCGTGCCTCTTCTGATATTTAATCCATTCGGTGTTGAAAACGCTCTTGGATACTTTCGCGAAAGAGTTGTCGTCGATCTCTTGTAAAATACTCTGCACGAAACCCTTGTCTGTTTTCTCGTTAACGTACATCTCGCAGTATCTGGGCAGGAAGTAGTATATGAAACTCGGTATAAAATCGATCACCAAATCGAATTCATTCGCAAAATAGTCCCTCTGTAGCTTCACAAAGGTTTTGTCGCCGGCGCTTTCGGCGAAGGTCCTCCTTATGACTTGTATTGTGAAATCGTATTTGACTGATTTTCTTTCGTTCAATTCAAACAGTTTCGTAGCGAAGTATTGCGCGTGCAATCTTAGATTGAACGTTTGCCCCATAGTGTGGTAGAGCAACGTGTCCATTGCGAACTCGTATTCTTCGCTCTTAATTGGTCCATGCTTTATTTTGAATTTCGTGATCCAATACAAAATTACAAATTGCGAGGGCAGCGGTATGTTTTTCCCTTTCAAATGTTCTGTCATCTCTTCGGTAATTTTCACTTCCTGTAAATTTTATTTTTTCTGTAAGAGAAGCTCCACGGAACACGAAATTTTTAAACCATGCAACATTACTAACTCAATAAGCGTACAATAATCTAGTGGTTAGATCGCGTCCTGTGGCTAGCTCTTAATTTTTTGAGCTTTGAGATTGTCCTTGAGCTTAAGTCCCAATCCCATAACCGGTATCAGTGAAACTGTTACTTACAATTTCAAGTGCTGATTTATTACGTGCTAGGTGTTTAATGATTCACTTCCTTTTCTTAAGGAGATCAATCATCGGACCTATGCGTATCTATAGGTTTCCTCGTGATGGTATGTCTTTAGTTTTTACTACTCACTTATAAGAATTTTCATACCTTAAAACAAAAGTATAGGGCTATGTACCACTCCAAACAGATTCGGACGCTCGGTTGATGCGGAATTGACCCTAACAAATCCATACACCAATTTGCAATCTTGTCCATTTCGACGTCTCTAGATTTCAACAGTATTAAGAGCAAAGTTTGCAAAGCACTCAGTAGTGTTCTATGACTCTGAGAGTTTCCGTGGTATCGTTTCTTGTTGGCGAACAGAGAATCGATTTTTTTCGTCACGAATGTTGTTATTTCGTTCAGTACATCTCGATTACCGATTTTACTCAAAAGGCAATACGATAAGTACTGTATATGAAAATTGAAGTGGACGTCGACGCTGAAAAAAATATATTAAAAAAAATAAAAAGCAGTCAATGGAAGTAAAAACTTTAAACTATTTCTGAACATTCAAATAATGGCCACAGCAAATAAATTAAATTTTTTACGTAGTCAACTTAACTTATACAAATTATAATCTCAAAATAATAAAAGTAAGTAAAGTATCGGCCTATACATGTCCCACTACTGAGCAAAGGCCTCCCCTGTACAGAGGGTATCAGGGCATAGTCCAACACACGGCCACACTACGGATTGGCGGACTTCACATATCTTCGAAATTTATATTTTTATTATTATTTCGAAAATATGCAGGTTTCCTCACAATATTCTAATTCACCGCTGAGCACGTGATAATTCAGCACTTGAAATTAACAATTTCATTGGTGTCGGCACCGGGGATCGAACTCAGGTTGCTCGAGTATATCGAATTAAAGGCGAGCGCCCGGACACTGAGCTATCACGGCCTATTTTGCTTCTAATAAAGATTAGAACCAAAATAGGCATAAAAAATACAATAAATAACTTTCCAGAAAGATAGGAGACACGTATTGAAAGATATAAATATATACATATAATAGTCGGGTATACGCAATGAACATTATATTTATAATATACATTATATTTATATATAATAGGCTGACAGATGATCACGTCTTCATCATCAATTAGTATCATCACTTGATAAAACGTATTTCAACAATTTTACCACACAAGATAAACTAAAAAATTAAATCAGTTAAATTGCATATTTGTTTGAATTCGACAATGGGTATGACATATTATAAATTCGCAAAAAGACTAACGTTGTCGACAGCCAGGCGCGTGCACTCCATACACGCAAAAAAGCTTTGCATACCCTGTCATCCAAGGGTGCCCCAAAACAAGCTAAATAACTACTACTACTATAAATAGGCTAGAGCCAAGAATTATATTAAAGTTCTCAATTACAGATGTCAATTGTTGATGATAATTTTACTTTAACTCTTGGCTTTTCGTGTTTATTTTTTTAGTGCATATCCTGTTTGAAATCTCAGTGCACTCCACTGCAGTGACAGTTGAATGGATAAGCAAGCTGGAGTGGTCGAGGGCGACCATTTATTCCTCAGAACCAGATCAAACGTAGGGAACGCGCCCCACATTGTGCAGTTATGATATTTACGTTACAAACATTGAATAAGTTAGAAATATAACATATTATAATAGAAACATACATCTTCGGACAATAGCATATGAGACAATGAATCTTACTCAGTAGTCAATGTTGACAATATTAAAAATATTATGTACTCACTTAAGTCTGTCTATTCCATATTTCATTTGATTCAATATTTCTATTGATAGATTTTCAGTGATTCTGTAATACAAAGGTAATTTAATTAAATTCAGAAATTTAATTACTATGAACAAACTAATAAAAAAAATCTTGCCTCTGATCTTTCCTTGGAATAGGAGCGAATATTAAAATTTCACATAAAGCATAAACCAATTGACTATGTTTCGAAATGTCTTTATTATTCATTTGCCTAATTAGGAAAAATAATGGAGTATTGTTTATTGGTCCATACTCAACTATCTTATAGCAGTATGCCAATATGATATTATTATATACAGGATTACTGAGCAAAGAATCATCAGTTACTATATTTACAAATTCTTCAATACATATGGCATATTGATTATTAGATTTTAATTCTTCAATCTCCTTCCACATTCTATTCAAAAATACTGCAACATCAAAATCGGTTTCAGGCTCCAATAACTTTGGCAGAACCAGTTTCATTATTTTCAGAATCCATATCAGGCAGCCGTAGCCACCACATTCCGCTGCTCTGTCAATAAAGTTCAGAAATGGTTTTGTATTTCCTGTTGTCACTTTATCATTGGTTTTTATAATGTTGAATAAAATTTCACAGTATTTTTCATAAAAGATATTCTTAAGCCTGCCACTTTTCTCCTTTACGCTTGATTTTTGACATTCTATGCCATGAGATAAACACACAAACTTATCAAAATTTAACATTTCATGCTTGTGATAATCAATCATCAGTGGGCTAGTTAAGAGAATGCTTACTATTTGCACAGATAAAATTTTTGTCTCTATGGCAACATTAATATCTTCCAACATCAAAATACAGGATTTGTATACTAACAATACAGTCTCTATTGCATTGTAGTCACTTAACATAGAAATCATGTTTTTTAATCCCAGAAAAAGGGAATCAATCTCATTTACACTGAGATTTGCACCGTTTTGCAGTAGGCTAATTAAATATTCCAAAATAGTTTTATAAGCAGTTGCAGTGACCAAATTTATATTTTCTATCACAGAATTGTTTCTCCTTGTAGTTTTACTAAATATGTTGGCTAGAGATATTACATCATTAAAACATGTGAGTTTATCTGCAAATTGCCTTTGATTTATATCTTGAATGTTTATTATCATTCTATTAATGCATGTTAATAAATCCGTTACCTCTACAGGATGTGTTTCAATATAGAATAGACCGAAGTCAATATTTCTCTCCAAGTTTGTAATCAATTTAAATAATAATGGTATTTCTTCTGCTTCTATTAATGCATTTTCCTTTAGATACATGATTAGTGGGTTGCTATTCCTGCTCTCTTCTATTTGAGTGTCAAAGGAAAAATAAGGGTAAAGAATCAAATATTCTTTCCAATGAAGTCCTTTACAACAATTGCCAACTAAATATGAAATGTTGACATGAACAGCTCTCCTTATGAGAATATTATTGCAAGGAATGTTCAAAATACTCAATATCGTTTGGGAAATGGCTGTTTGTTCAAAGGTGCTTAATAAATCTTTTCTAATTGTTGCAAGTACATCACTTAAATGGAATAGAGGTACAGGAGCCCACTTTATTTGTGACATCATTCTTAAAATAAGCATTAGTGTTTTTACATCTGAGAAGGCTGTGGATAATTTAACTTTAAGCTGATTATATTGTGTGTTAATTTCAAAGAGATAAGTGTCATTAAGAGCTTCCAAAAGTGTTACAGCTTCATATTCCTTGTTTAATTTGACCTTAAGCCTATATTCTATGCATTTCAAACGTACCTGTGTATTATCATGCTTAAGGCCTAAATTAAATATGCAATTTAACCAACAGTCTGGTATATCTTTCAAACTATCTAGCAATCTTAATGATGGTACAACAATGTTGCTTTGTTTCTCTTCTAAACTATCTAACACTATGAAAAAGTTGTCCCACATGATTTTGAGTTCTTTCTTATATTTATTATCCCATTTAAATATTGTCTTTCCATTCAAATTTGCATGAGCATCTCTTTTACGGGAAAGTAAATAATCCAAAGCCCTTTTTAATAGGTAACTGGATATTCTTCTATTTGTTACCTCTGAAGTTTTAGACATTAATCCTCTTAAAACTATTTCCCAAAACTGATCTTCGTGCACTATGTCTGACTCTAATACAATTGCTTTGCTTTCCATTATGGGTAGATAATAGTCTGAAAGACAGCTCAGTGTTTTAAGAGCTATGTCAGTTTGATCCTTAAGCTGAATAATAAACTTCCAAATTCTATCCAAAATATTGTAACCATGGATTCCTTTGAAAATTAGGGGTACTGTACTAGTTAAGAAAAATCCCTTCAGTTTTTCTTGATTGCTAAAAAGTATATTCTCTAATGGAACTTCTAAGAATGGTAGTGAAAGTATCTGACCATTATTTATAACTGCTTCTAGTATACTATTGCAAATCTTTAAGTTTACCAAAGCTCTTGAAAGTTGATCTTTCTCATCATTTGAAGATGTATTTGAAAGTTGTGATGGTAATTCTACGTTACATAGTATTTGTTGTATTAAATGTTCTGATTTCGATTTTAAACTGTTAGGGTTAAGCGAAATTACTACATTAACAATTTTACATACATTATCCACATTATCATCTTGTATACTGCTAATTAATTTACTTACGAATGAATATTCTCTTTCGTTATCACATTCGGAGTCTTCTTGCAAATTAATAAGTTGTTTATACCGTAATAAATGAATTGCATTTTTTAAATGTTTATTAGAGAAATTAGAGCGTTCCATTATTGTGGCCAACCGAGAGTCAATTACTTCTTCATCTAAGTCTAGCAAATCCATAAAAGACAATAACTCATCACGGGGAAACATTTTAATTCTCAGTTTCTCAGGTAAACCAAGAAACAAACATTAAATAAAGTTTATTTTATTTTATAATGACCAATGCCCATGTGTTATTATGTTGTTTATGTAAAATATCGATATTCGATAATGATTTTGACATATCTGTCAAATAAATTGAAAAATCGATTTTTTTTAATAATTATCTTATTACGGAATTCTTTTTTTCTTACAAATAAGAGAAATGCTTACCAACCCTTTTGTTTTTATTTATTTACAAGTTTAAATATAAATTGTGCTAATCTCTGATCACTTAAGATTGAACATTAAAACATGTAGAAAACGTACGAAAAGATTCCCACAGCGGCGACAATCTTTTCGTACTTCTTCTACATGTTTTAAAGTATAAATATATTACTGTTATACTTATTAATATTACATACTTTGTATACTTGGCTTCATATCTAAAGCAATAGCTTTTTTAGTTATTTTGTTATTAATTATTAATATTATTTGCGATGTAAAGAACAAAATACCGTAAGTAGTCCTTATTTTATAAACCAATTAGGTAGCTATATTTTACATTGAAATATAAAATATGGCCACCCTAGGCCCAAGTATCCAGTCAAGTCCCATCCAGCCACTCTTTTCTCAGCGCCCATCATATATCTTGTTATCATCAGAGAATTTTTGGTCACGATTGGCCGCCCCTAATATGTACGCGCTCTAGGCCGGGCCTATTGGGCCCTGCCTATAACAATATCATGGTCCAGTGGAATGGTTCAGAAAAAGGCAAATCAAGGTCCTACTTTCTTCAAGTCGTTTGAAAATCTCATATTCAAACAGAAAATTAGCACTGTAGCCAATACTGTAGACGAATTAGGTAATGACAAGCCTGGTACCTCTTACGGGAGCATCAGGTACGATAAGACTAATACGTAAAGTTAATTTATGCATGTGTGGTGGATGAAAACAACCGCCGCGTCTATTTTAAATTTAGCGCGCAAAAGCGCGCGACTCGCGGTTTGCAAACGAGTCGCCTCTGATTGGTCGGCGACCGGGGAGTTACCTCTGCCTCGAGACTCGCCGCTGAGAACACAACGGTCTATTTGCTTTGTTAACAATAACATTACTTTAAGGGTGAAAATATTGTGAACACATCTAAAGTTCTTCTGATGTAATACAATTAACAGTGAGCACATTTGTGAGTTTTATTTAATGGCATTCCGCACATTTCATGCCATACATGCATTGTTTGTATGCCACATTTGACATATATGATATACAAGTGTCTATTTCGGGCATATTCCCGCTAATCACTTGAAACCCCTTTAAAAAAAACCATTAATAAAACGTTGAATTGCATCGCGAACATAAAAATGTCAACTCAGTCCACCTTCTTAAAACGTCGATAAGACACTTCAAAAAAATCAATAACATTAAAGTCCGTTGGTTAAAGGTTTTGGATTCTATTCCGCACCCCCTCAAATCGTGCATCTGAGAGTACGTCGACCTTAGAACAACTTAGCTGGAGAGCACAATGACCACGTTTGCTCCACTGCATTTCCACAACCCCGGTTGACAAGAGATGAGCAATAAAAAATAGGAGGGTACGGCATGATCCAAGAACTCCACAGATGGGGAATTGAACTATGACTTGGACCTTGATCACTAGTGATAGATAGTAGAAATGTCGATGTTTTTATTTACTATCGACCTAGGTCGTTCAATCGCTTATAAAAATTTAATTACGGAAAATATATGTGTATATATATATATAAATATAGGAATCGATATTGAAATACTTGAAGCGGTTTCAACTGGGTTTAAGTTGGCGATTTATGAACGTTTTTGAGTTTTGGCTTTTTACTTACTTCCCAAACACTCGGTTAATTCTTGTAATAGCTATTTGATGTTCTGAGCAATGAGAAATTCGAATTTAACAATGCCGAAAATTTTAATTTTTGAAAAACTTAATGAATTAGTTAGTTTAGTCGCAAATTATTAATATTTGAATCGATTTTCTAAAATAAATTTACCTCATCTATTAATTTGATATTTTAATAAAATATATAGTGATTTTGACACTACATCATTGGTACAGACTAAAAATCTTTAAACTCTTTAAAGTCACCAAAAAATAAGAAAAATTCCATCATTCACAGAATTGTTTGTAAAATAGTTTTGCGATTACAGACTGTTGTGTAAATTAGTTAAAATTTGCAATTCGTTTTAGAATACTATTGCATGCTTATAACTTTCGCAGTGTAGCTGTGTTATTTACATATATAAATATGGAAGATAATTCTTCTAGCGATGACGAAGTAAACGATTCTCCTTTAAGCCCGAAACTGGGTGGTAAAAAGCTAAAATTAAACGACGGAAGCTCCCATGATAGCATTAAAGATGCAGGTAATTATAGAATTACTTAAAATGGTCGTCTGGTCACCATTGACGTTAATAATTTATCCATTTTGTTTTTTTATCCAACTGTAGCCTCGGGTGAAAAAACTGATAAGGATGAGGTAGTGGACAGTGGAATATCAGCTGATAAATCGGAGAGTACAAGCAGTGATGATCGTTTATCTGGATGTACTTCAGGCCCATCAAATGAAGTAGTAAATGTTGGGCCATCAGGCAGCAATGTGAGAGCCATATTGCTTAACATTCGTCAGCCAAAGCGAGGAAGGAACTACAGGAAGAGGAAGACACCAGATAGGGATTCTGACAATAATGATTCATCCAGAGATTCAGATGATTTGTCCGCTGAAGAGATTCTTCAGCCCTCTAGAGAGACTGACAATACATCAGATGGAGATAGTGATGATTTGCAACAGTTCTTGACATCATTCTCAGATGGGTCACCAAGTGTGTAAGTAGCTTTTAAAAAAAACTAAAAATACCTTTAGAAGAAAATAGTTCTAAAACCTGTTACGCCCAAAGCGTTAAGTATAACATTTCAGGAATTTCATTCTGGCAGATATAGTATAGGCAAAGAAACAAGCAAGAACTGACTACAATGAGAACTCATTGTATATTTTGTATTTGTAAACTTTCATAAATTTAAATAGTTAATAATTCAATCAAGAATTATTAACCAAATTATGCATGCATATAAATTGTATTTAGTTGAACTTGATAACAATCACTTTTAAATTAGAGTCACATGGAGGGACTTAATACAATTTGGCATTCAATTTGTTTTTTAGCAGGAGTATTTATTTTAAAAAATACATTTTTATTAATGATCTTTTGTGTATTTTTCAAAGTTAGACTAACTTTGCAAGGTCATGAGTGATAGCCTGTGATAATGTATGTAAACATGTTATGTATAGGTTTACATTTATCAGGTAAAGCTTTTCTTTGCTAAAAATAAATAGTTATGATTCTTATTTACTACAATTGTATGTAGATGTTCCAAATCATTAAAAAAAGCAACTGGTTTACTTTATTAAAACATCAATGTTTTTGCCTCTTATATTTAAAAATGTATATTAAAGGTTTTAGGAAACTTCTTTCCACACTTTGTTTAGACAATTTTTTTTGTTTAGACATAAATATAGCATTATGTATAGAATAGTTTTCACCTTCAATTATTTTGTCTTTAAAATTGCCGTCCCTAGTGTATCATATACTTAATAAATTCTTATTCAATAAAGATAATAATATAATAGAGTATGCTTGAGGTATATTTTACTACACCTTTAGGCCAAACATTATTGCCAACCAATATCTTCTGATTGACTTCCATTTGACGAAGTCACTAATTCACTATTTCATTTTGATTACTTTTCAAACTCACGAATATGGGGATAAATACTTTAATATGATCTGTTGGTGCTGGCAACACTGTTTACCGGATATAACGTTATCTACTTGAGCTAAGGGACACATGGTCGCATAGAGTAGCGGTCTGCAGCGAGCAGCGGATTTCGGCCACGTTCCCGGACGGTGATATAACCACTAGTGCTGCTTGTCGTTATAATAGTTGTTAATATTCAAGTTCAGTAATAGTTAAAATATTAGGATCAAGGTAAAAACGTTAGAACTCTTATAGATCTACAGTGTAGATTCTACACTGATGAATTGTGGGTTTTCTTTTATTTTTGGATTACATCATTTTTAAATTTAACTCGTAATGGATGTTAAATTCAAATCTATGTAATAAAGTGTGACCCTTCTAAAGTGTGCAGGATACAATAAATACTAAATTTTATTATACTGTCCCCACATAGTACTTTATTATATCAGTTTATAGTTTTTTTGTTATTTACACAAACACCTTAAATAGGTATTTAAAATGTTGGACTTAATTTCAATTGGCAATCACTAGCAGGCAACCCGAGGCGTGAAAAGAAAATGTGGTAGGTGCAATAAATCTGTAAGGTTTGAATGTATGGGGCTGAATGTTTGTTTCCATCATGTGAATTAAGGTATTATACTACATCTAGAGTTTATTAATAATATCTTCATTGTCATAGTTAATTCAAGATCTTTGCTTTAATTGGAAATTACAATTCCAGTAAATCTCTTATAGAATTTATAAATATACTTCATGCATAGTCAGTTGTCAAGTTTTATACAAAACAGCGACCTGCCCTGGCTTCGCACGGGTGCAATGTATTACACATATAAACCTTCCTCTTGAATCACTCTATCTAGTAAAAAAAAACCGGATCAAGATCCGTTGCGTAGTTTTAAAGATCTAATCATATATAGGGACAGACAGACAGCGGGACGACTTACTTTGTTGAGTTACATTCAGTGAGCACTAGTTGAATACGAGACACTGTAATGCGATCAATCGCCCGTTCCACCAGGTCCGACAGCAGTGATAGCAGCAGCAGCTCTTATAGCAACTACAGCTTCGACAGCAACGACGTGGTGCGGTTCCAGTCGATTGAGACCAGCGAGGACGAGGGCGTGTGGTCCCGCTCCAACGCGGTGAACGACGAGGAGATGACCGGCACGCCGCCGGCGGTGCTGCTCAAGCCGCGGCCCAAGCACAACTACTTCATTTTGAGGGGTGAGTGGGTCGACTAATCCGTCAGGTGATTCCATTAATCAGTCCGTCAGGTGAGTAGATTGAGAAATCCGTCAGGTGATTCAATTAATCAGTCCGTCTGGTGAGTCGATTGAATATTCCGTCGATGGATTATTCCATCCGGTGACTCCGTTGAATATTCGTGATGATATTTCGTAATGTGATTAGATTGCATATGCCGTCAGGTGATCCGATTGTCGATTGAATACGATATATAGATATGCGGTATTTCTCTATTTTTATTTGCTAAGTACTTTTTATTGATTTCGTTTTACTTGAATTCTTGTTATAATGGCTCATCCCGGATAGTACTGTGGCCTCCCAGAAAACAAGTCTGAAGTGGACCACCACTAACACAAAAGAGTAATACTAATAATATACTATTTTATAATTAGTATTATTCTTTTGTGTTACGTATGGTGAGGTAGCCCGGGTCCACTGTTTTTTTGAAATGCATCTGCTACTCCTCAGACGTTGATCAGTTGTCCATGGGTGGCACGTTCACTGAACGTGAGGAAATTTTCACATAAACAATCAATATGCCTTTCTTCTTTTTAAGTGAGCGGGTGGCAAACGAGCTGGCGATCCACCTGATGTTAAGTGATAACCGTCGCCCATGGTCATTTGAAACACCCGTGAAGTTGCAGACGCACTCGGCAGACACAACGCAATAGCATAACGCTACCACTTTACGCCGGTCTTCTGTCCTGTGCTACGGTAAAGATTCACGTGGCCCACCGTCGACCCCCCGCCCCCCTCCCGCGCCCCTCGCGTATTACAGTATATTCGAAGGTGATTGGTCGTTACGAGCACCTCACCAGTACACCAGTAACAACTTGCGTCGACAAAAGGCGAAAAAAATACGGTCCTGTTTTATTGATGCCTCTGCAGTCGTTGCGGTGATACGTAAACACTGTCTGTTCTCGTGTGTAACAAGTAATACGAATACCAGCTCGATCAATCATGAAACTCTCCCCCACCTGGACGATATTTGGATCCTTGCAGAGATAATTAACCGCGAGATGGGCCTGACATTTCCCTGCGGTAAAACGGCGCAGAGCGACCTAGCGTTCGAGCAGAAGTTCTACGGGTCCCTTCACGCCGTCTACCGCCTGAAGAAACTGCACACACTGAACAAGCACGGCGGATGCGTCAACTCGATAAATTTTCATCCGGAGGGTGAGGAAACTGTTGTTCCTATTTATTTTGATTTTTACTTAGACTAGCCCGTCCACTCGTCTGTATGATAGTGACAAAAAAAAAGAGTAAAGTAACAGCCCATACATATGCGACTGCTGGCCAAAGGCCTCCTCTGTACAGAGTATATTATGTTTTATAGGACTTAAAATTAATAATTTAATTCGTGCCGGCACTGGGGATCGAACTCGGGTTGCTCGAGTATATTAAATTAGAGGCGAGCGCCCGGACACTGAGCTATCACAGCTCAACATGGTGACGAGAAAAAAAAATTAAGTGAAGTGATTTGGCGGAAAATTCAGCAGCGAACGTTGGATACTTTCGTTTCGAAACCGTTAACAAAGTGAGATGACACGGCAGTAGACAGACGTATCAAGTGCTTTCAAGAATAGAACCTACGATACTAGACTCCATAGAGTCAGTAACTCGTTCATGGGACGGTGTATACGCTTCTACAACAAAATCCCAGTTAATGTGCAAAGCCTATCTATTAACAGGTGTAAGAAATTTATTAAAGAAAAACTTTTTAAAAAGGGTTATTATAATATAAATGATTATCGATAATAACCCCCGGGAATGAGATGTTTGCTACTAAGCTGTTTCTAAAAAAAAAAATATGTACTGTATAACTATGTATTTGTTGAGTAAAAAAAATGACAAAAAAGAGGATACATACGGAATTTATTTCGCCTGTTTCTTCTCCGTTAGAGGAACCTCATTACGAAACGGTGGTACATTTAAAAAATGACTATCGATAAATGAAATATATATTTCTTATTTCGATGAATAATTGAATTTGAATACGTTGCAGTCTGAAAACGTATTAATAACTCGTGAGCGGTGATGATCACCTACCAATGGGGTGAGCCGCTTACTCGTTCGACAACTCCGTTAAAAAAACCTCGATTAGACAAGACATGTCAAGTTTTCCACTAACTATGCTTAATCAGTGCTCATAATTATTCGTAGGAAAACAAGTTCGCTAAGATTCGTGATTATATAAAGTTTGTAATTCATTTTTCTAATAATATCAAATTTCTTTGAAAGAGTGAGTCCAAATGTTAACTGTAAATAAAATAAGTATGTCGCCGTAAACTAGGCAAATTAAGCCTTTTACAAAGCCAAGTCTTCAAATTTAAAATTTCTATTTGCAATGGCAACATCTCTCGTTCGAATTATAACGATATTCGAAATTGGTTGTTTGCTGTAAAGGATATAACAATGGATGCGTCAAGAATTGCTTGTAATGCGAAAAAAACAATGGAGATAAAATACGTTGAGATTTTCGTCGGTGTGTGTGGTAATCAGCCGTTTAGCTTAGTGGTTAAAGCGTCTGGGCGCGAATCTCGAAGACTTGCGTTCGATATCCACGGCGGCGAAAAACTTTTCGTATAATATTCTACACCATTTTAATGTTTCATCTCAAGGGCAGAGATTATCACTTATACAAATGTAAAAAAAGTCTACAGCCACTGCTTGATATTACAACCCGAGTGGACCGCAGGCCATCTACTGGCGTCGGGGTCGGACGACACGAACGTGGTGGTGTGGGACTGGGCGCGCAACCGCGCCCTCCAGACAATCAAGACCGGCCACAAGTCGAACGTGTTCCAGAGCAAGTTCCTCCACCTGAACGCGCGGAGTCAGCTGAACATCGTGACTTGCGCTAGGGATGGCCAGGTGAGTAGCTGGGAAGGGGGAAAGGGCCAAAGGTTTATGTTGCCGATATGAAAGGGGCCGGGAGAACGAATGCAAGATAGTTTTAGAGAGAGAAAGGGAGAATGAGGAAATAGGATTGGTTAGTGACCGAGAGCGAATAGGGAACTAGTTAAAATCAGAAACGCAAACTTATTCAATTGCAAACACATTAGTAAGTAAGCGTACGCTTGCAATACGAATGTGTTTGGAGTTATATCAAACATTAAAGTTATAGTCATAAGGATGTGCTGGAAGGTGTGTATCCATTTGATACAGCCAGTGCAACTTGTTCCTTAGAAAATTTGAACGCTAACGTTACAGCCATAGAGCTTATCGAAGCGTGGAGTATTACATTCACATCCATCGCACGGGTCACTAAGTTAGCCGAAACTCGGGCAGCGAGGCGAGCCGTTTGCCCTTCGGCTTAAATAATTCCCCGGCGACGTTCCGCCGGGGCGCAGGTGCGGCTGCTGCAGTGCGCGCCCAGCGGCGGCGGCTCGGGCGCGGGCGTGGCGCGGCGCCGGCTCGCGTCGCACTCGCGCGCCGCCCACAAGCTGCACGTGAGCGCGCGCGCGCCCCACGAGGTGCTCTCGGCGGGCGAGGACGGGCTCGTGGTGCTGTCGGACGTGCGCGCCGACAGGGCCACCAGGTCGGTGCCCTCTTGCCTTCTTGCCGTTGCACAGTCATCGCTGTAGCGCGAACGGGCAGCTCGACAGCTTCTGCTCGACGTATATAGTAATGTTGGAAATAAATCGAAATATCGAATGGCAGCACTGCAACGGGCTATAGAACGAGCGACGCTCAACGTGTTCGTTCAGTTTTACGTCAGTCGTTGTAGCGCGCTGAAGCTCTAACCCGAATTTATAACGATTGTGTCGGTTACTTTGAATTATACTGGCCAATGAGTTATTTAAAAAAAATCAGTTAAACAATACTGTTAGAAATAGAAATGATTTTTAAATAACTTATTGGCCAGCAGGACAGACTACATAGAATAAAAGTTGAACTATAATTCTAAGTAACCAAAACAAGCGTTATTAATTCGGGTAGAGCTTCAGCACGTTACAACGGCTGACGAAAAACTGAACGATCACGGTGAGCGCTGCTCGTTTTATAGCCCGTTTCAGTGTTGTTATTCGATGTTTCGTTTTATTTCCAACAATACTATGTCGCTCTGCGCCGTTTTACCGCAGGGAAATGTCGTGCCCATCTCGCGGCGGTTGATTATCTCATTAAGGTTCCAACAATCGTCCAGATGGAGGAGAATATCTCTGTTCTTCCCAAGTTTTTCCCGCGGTAGTGCCACACAAGTCTTCGTAATAGCAAGAATGTGCAGGTCCGTCCGGGGAAGCACCACGACATCACAGGAGGCCGGCGTGAAGTGGAAGCGTCGTACTTTCGCGGGTCGTCTGGTGAGTGAGATAAACTGTTCGGGTGAACAGTTTAACCCGAGCTTGTCTGCCCATCCCATAAAAAACATAGTTTATGTCCTTAGCATGAATGATGAGGTTTAATTTTCTTAAAAGAGTTGGCAAAGCCGGCGCTGCTAACGTCTGAAACGGCCAGCTTTCGAGAACATTTAATTGAAAAATAATTGAAATAGCTTATATCTCTTATTTATGTTTGTATATGCTATTATTACAGATCTTTGTACATATAGGGTATTAGTGCATGTTCCACAACGCATCCCCAGCGCGTGATCGCCATACCGAATATATCTGAGAAATATTTCCTCTTTTATATCTTACAATATAAACAAAAACCTATGTCCGGAAACCGAGCTTCCGCGGTAGTAATGAAAATCGCCGTCGCAGGCTGGTGCACGTGAAGGAGCAGGGCTCGACGGTGCCGCTGTACAGCGTGGCGGGTCACCCGACCGACTCGCACCTGCTGCTCGCCGGCCGCGACCGCTTCCTTCGCGTCTACGACCGCCGCCAGCCGCAGCGGCCCCTCGCGCTCTACTGCCCCACGCACTTCTTGCAGGTGACGCCCCTCCGCCGACTCTTTCTCGGGGAAGTTGTTGACCATACATGACTGAAACACGTAAAAGACTTATTAATGCCCCTCGCGCTCTACTGCCCCACGCACTTCTTGCAGGTGGCGCCCCTCCGCCGACTCTTTCTCGGGGAAGTTGTTGACCATACATGACTAAAACACGTAAAAGACTTATAAATGCCCCTCGCGCTCTACTGCCCCACGCACTTCTTGCAGGTGACGCCCCTCCGCCGACTCTTTCTCGGGGAAGTTGTTGACCATACATGACTGAAAGACGTAAGAGACTTATTAATGCCCCTCGCGCTCTACTGTCCCACGCACTTCTTGCAGGTGACGCCCCTCCGCCGACTCTTTCTCGGGGAAGTTGTTGACCATACATGACTAAAAGACGTAAGAGACTAATAAATGCCCCTCGCGCTCTACTGCCCCACGCACTTCTTGCAGGTGACGCCCCTCCGCCGACTCTTTCTCGGGGAAGTTCTTGACCATACATGACTAAAAGACGTAAGACGCTAATAAATGCCCCTCTCGCTCTACTGCCCACGCACTTCTTGCAGGTGACGCCCCTCCGCCGACTCTCTTTCTCGGGGAAGTTGTTGACCATACATGACTAAAACACGTAAAAGACTTATTAATGCCCCTCGCGCTCTACTGCCCCACGCACTTCTTGCAGGTGACGCCCCTCCGCCGACTCTTTCTCGGGGAAGTTGTTGACCATACATGACTAAAACACGTAAAAGACTTCTAAATGCCCCTCGCGCTCTACTGCCCCACGCACTTCTTGCAGGTGACGCCCCTCCGCCGACTCTTTCTCGGGGAAGTTGTTGACCATACATGACTAAAACACGTAAAAGACTTATTAATGCCCCTCGCGCTCTACTGTCCCACGCACTTCTTGCAGGTGACGCCCCTCCGCCGACTCTTTCTCGGGGAAGTTGTTGACCATACATGACTAAAACACGTAAAAGACTTATAAATGCCCCTCGCGCTCTACTGCCCCACGCACTTCTTGCAGGTGACGCCCCTCCGCCGACTCTTTCTCGGGGAAGTTGTTGACCATACATGACTAAAACACGTAAAAGACTTATTAATGCCCCTCGCGCTCTACTGTCCCACGCACTTCTTGCAGGTGACGCCCCTCCGCCGACTCTTTCTCGGGGAAGTTGTTGACCATACATGACTAAAACACGTAAAAAAGACTTATTAATGCCCCTCGCGCTCTACTGTCTCACGCACTTCTTGCAGGTGACGCCCCCCTCCGCCGACTCTTTCTCGGGGAAGTTGTTGACCATACATGACTAAAAGACGTAAGAGACTAATAAATGCCCCTCGCGCTCTACTGCCCCACGCACTTCTTGCAGGTGACGCCCCTCCGCCGACTCTTTCTCGGGGAAGTTCTTGACCATACATGACTAAAAGACGTAAGACGCTAATAAATGCCCCTCTCGCTCTACTGCCCACGCACTTCTTGCAGGTGACGCCCCTCCGCCGACTCTTTCTCGGGGAAGTTGTTGACCATACATGACTAAAAGACGTAAAGACGTAAGAGACTTATTAATGCCCCTCGCGCTCTACTGCCCCACGCACTTCTTGCAGGTGACGCCCCTCCGCCGACTCTTTCTCGGGGAAGTTGTTGACCATACATGACTAAAACACGTAAAAGACTTATAAATGCCCCTCGCGCTCTACTGCCCCACGCACTTCTTGCAGGTGACGCCCCTCCGCCGACTCTTTCTCGGGGAAGTTCTTGACCATACATGACTAAAAGACGTAAGACGCTAATAAATGCCCCTCTCGCTCTACTGCCCACGCACTTCTTGCAGGTGACGCCCCTCCGCCGACTCTTTCTCGGGGAAGTTGTTGACCATACATGACTAAAAGACGTAAGAGACTAATAAATGCCCATCGCGCTCTACTGCCCCACGCACTTCTTGCAGGTGACGCCCCTCCGCCGACTCTTTCTCGGGGAAGTTCTTGACCATACATGACTAAAAGACGTAAGACGCTAATAAATGCCCCTCTCGCTCTACTGCCCACGCACTTCTTGCAGGTGACGCCCCTCCGCCGACTCTTTCTCGGGGAAGTTGTTGACCATACATGACTAAAAGACGTAAGAGACTTATTAATGCCCCTCGCGCTCTACTGCCCCACGCACTTCTTGCAGGTGACGCCCCTCCGCCGACTCTTTCTCGGGGAAGTTGTTGACCATACATGACTAAAACACGTAAAAGACTTATTAATGCCCCTCGCGCTCTACTGTCCCACGCACTTCTTGCAGGTGACGCCCCTCCGCCGACTCTTTCTCGGGGAAGTTCTTGACCATACATGACTAAAAGACGTAAGACGCTAATAAATGCCCCTCTCGCTCTACTGCCCACGCACTTCTTGCAGGTGACGCCCCTCCGCCGACTCTTTCTCGGGGAAGTTGTTGACCATACATGACTAAAAGACGTAAGACGACTTATTAATGCCCCTCGCGCTCTACTGCCCCACGCACTTCTTGCAGGTGACGCCCCTCCGCCGACTCTTTCTCGGGGAAGTTGTTGACCATACATGACTAAAACACGTAAAAGACTTATAAATGCCCCTCGCGCTCTACTGCCCCACGCACTTCTTGCAGGTGACGCCCCTCCGCCGACTCTTTCTCGGGGAAGTTGTTGACCATACATGACTAAAACACGTAAAAGACTTATTAATGCCCCTCGCGCTCTACTGTCTCACGCACTTCTTGCAGGTGACGCCCCTCCGCCGACTCTTTCTCGGGGAAGTTGTTGACCATACATGACTAAAAGACGTAAGAGACTAATAAATGCCCCTCGCGCTCTACTGCCCCACGCACTTCTTGCAGGTGACGCCCCTCCGCCGCCGACTCTTTCTCGGGGAAGTTCTTGACCATACATGACTAAAAGACGTAAGACGCTAATAAATGCCCCTCTCGCTCTACTGCCCACGCACCTCTTTGCAGGTGACGCCCCTCCGCCGACTCTTTCTCGGGGAAGTTGTTGACCATACATGACTAAAAGACGTAAGAGACTTATTAATGCCCCTCGCGCTCTACTGCCCCACGCACTTCTTGCAGGTGACGCCCCTCCGCCGACTCTTTCTCGGGGAAGTTGTTGACCATACATGACTAAAACACGTAAAAGACTTATAAATGCCCCTCGCGCTCTACTGCCCCACGCACTTCTTGCAGGTGACGCCCCTCCGCCGACTCTTTCTCGGGGAAGTTGTTGACCATACATGACTAAAACACGTAAAAGACTTATTAATGCCCCTCGCGCTCTACTGTCCCACGCACTTCTTGCAGGTGACGCCCCTCCGCCGACTCTTTCTCGGGGAAGTTGTTGACCATACATGACTAAAAACACGTAAAAGACTTATTAATGCCCCTCGCGCTCTACTGTCCCACGCACTTCTTGCAGGTGACGCCCCTCCGCCGACTCTTTCTCGGGGAAGTTCTTGACCATACATGACTAAAAGACGTAAGACGCTAATAAATGCCCCTCTCGCTCTACTGCCCACGCACTTCTTGCAGGTGACGCCCCTCCGCCGACTCTTTCTCGGGGAAGTTGTTGACCATACATGACTAAAAGACGTAAGAGACTTATAAATGCCCCTCGCGCGCTACTGCCCCACGCACTTCTTGCAGGTGACGCCCCTCCGCCGACTCTTTCTCGGGGAACTTGTTGACCATACATGACTAAAACACGTAAAAGACTTATTAATGCCCCTCGCGCTCTACTGTCCCACGCACTTCTTGCAGGTGACGCCCCTCCGCCGACTCTTTCTCGGGGAAGTTGTTGACCATACATGACTAAAACACGTAAAAGACTTATTAATGCCCCTCGCGCTCTACTGTCCCACGCACTTCTTGCAGGTGACGCCCCTCCGCCGACTCTTTCTCGGGGAAGTTGTTGACCATACATGACTAAAACACGTAAAAGACTTTATAAATGCCCCTCGCGCTCTACTGCCCCACGCACTTCTTGCAGGTGACGCCCCTCCGCCGACTCTTTCTCGGGGAAGTTGTTGACCATACATGACTAAAACACGTAAAAGACTTATTAATGCCCCTCGCGCTCTACTGTCCCACGCACTTCTTGCAGGTGACGCCCCTCCGCCGACTCTTTCTCGGGGAAGTTGTTGACCATACATGACTAAAACACGTAAAAGACTTATAAATGCCCCTCGCGCGCTACTGCCCCACGCACTTCTTGCAGGTGACGCCCCTCCGCCGACTCTTTCTCGGGGAACTTGTTGACCATACATGACTAAAACACGTAAAAGACTTATTAATGCCCCTCGCGCTCTACTGTCCCACGCACTTCTTGCAGGTGACGCCCCTCCGCCGACTCTTTCTCGGGGAAGTTGTTGACCATACATGACTAAAACACGTAAAAGACTTATTAATGCCCCTCGCGCTCTACTGTCCCACGCACTGCTTGCAGGTGACGCCCCTCCGCCGACTCTTTCTCGGGGAAGTTGTTGACCATACATGACTAAAAGACGTAAGAGACTAATAAATGCCCCTCGCGCTCTACTGCCCCACGCACTTCTTGCAGGTGACGCCCCTCCGCCGACTCTTTCTCGGGGAAGTTGTTGACCATACATGACTAAAAGACGTAAGACACTAATAAATGCCCCTCTCGCTCTACTGCCCACGCACTTCTTGCAGGTGACGCCCCTCCGCCGACTCTTTCTCGGGGAAGTTGTTGACCATACATGACTAAAAGACGTAAGAGACTAATAAATGCCCCTCGCGCTCTACTGCCCCACGCACTTCTTGCAGGTGACGCCCCTCCGCCGTCTCTTTCTCGGGGAAGTTGTTGACCATACATGACTGAAAGACGTAAAAGACTTATTAATGCCCCTCGCGCTCTACTGCCCCACGCACTTCTTGCAGGTGACGCCCCTCCGACGACTCTTTCTCGGGGAAGTGGTTGACCACTTTCCATTAACCCCTAACCATCAGGGTGAGGCCTATGAATTAAAGATATAACACATTGATGCCCCTCGCGCTCTACTGCCCACGCACTTCTTGCAGGTGACGCCCCTCCGCCGACTCTTTCTCGGGGAAGTGGTTGACCACTTTCCATTAACCCCTAACCATCAGGGTGAGGCCTATGAATTAAAGATATAACACATTGATGCCCCTCGCGCTCTACTGCCCACGCACTTCTTGCAGGTGACGCCCCTCCGCCGACTCTTTCTCGGGGAAGTGGTTGACCACTTTCCATTAACCCCTAACCATCAGGGTGAGGCCTATGAATTAAAGATATAACACATTGATGCCCCTCGCGCTCTACTGCCCCACGCACTTCTTGCAGGTGACGCCCCTCCGCCGACTCTTTCTCGGGGAAGTGGTTGACCACTTTCCATTAACCCCTAACCATCAGGGTGAGGCCTATGAATTAAAGATATAACACATTGATGCCCCTCGCGCTCTACTGCCCCACGCACTTCTTGCAGGTGACGCCCCTCCGCCGACTCTTTCTCGGGGAAGTGGTTGACCACTTTCTATTAACCCCTAACCATCAGGGTGAGGCCTATGAATTAAAGATATAACACATTGATGCCCCTCGCGCTCTACTGCCCACGCACTTCTTGCAGGTGACGCCCCTCCGCCGACTCTTTCTCGGGGAAGTGGTTGACCACTTTCCATTAACCCCTAACCATCAGGGTGAGGCCTATGAATTAAAGATATAACACATTGATGCCCCTCGCGCTCTACTGCCCCAAGCACTTCATACAAGTGACGCACCTCCGCCGACTCTTTCGCAAAAAGGTGTCGACCACTTTCCAATAACCTCATAGGTCTTAAGGGCCAGGATAATGGATGAATAATCTTTACTACATCTCGTTAAAATTTTTATTCCAGAGTGACACGAACAAGAAGAAACTGCGGCTGACGATGATGCACTTGACGTGCGCTGTGTACAACCACGACGGTTCCTCCATACTCGGCTCGTACAACGACGACGACATATACCTATTCGATTCCAAACTCGATGTGTACGACAAGTGAGTACGAGAGTATACTTTTGGCGAATGTACGTACGGAGTTTAAGTAGCTTTCCCGCATGAAAGAATATGAAGAAAATCACGAAATTTGATATTAATGTACTTCATTCTAAAATTATACAAATGTAACGTAAAAAGTCTAAATGTAAAGTGTAATGTCTAAAAGTAGTAAATATCTATTATGTGTATCAATGGCTGAAAATGAGAGTGGACTGAGGGTCATTGACCTTTTTGTTGGCATTTGAAGTAATGCTAAATAGGTAGTAATGGTAATGTCGGAATGGTACAAAGCGAACTATTCTCTAATATTGAAGACCCGTTTCGTGTATAGTGAAGTTGTTTCTAGCGCCAGGGGTTTGGGTTCGATTCCCACTACTGAAAAAATACTGTGTGTTTGAACATAGTGTTTTTGATTGCCTGCATGTTTATATATCTATAGTATGTCTTTATTTTTAAAAATAAAGGTGTATTTGAAGTATTATAAAGTTTGGGACTAGAGAACTTTATTTGCTTTTTTCTGTTTTCTTTTCCATAAACAAGGAGTACTAGCACACGGGATAAGATATTTAGTTATTTTCTTCTTTTGTTACACTTAAGAAGTTTAACTTCAAAAAAGTTTAAAGTCAAAGTCAAAATTTCTTTATTCAACATAGACTTATTTTAAGCTCTTATTGAACGTAAAAAACTACCACTGGTTCATTAAACTAGACCTGCCAGAGAAGAACCGACAGGATAGAAACTCTGTGGTCATTAATTTTTTTTTGAACTATTTAAGTATACACAAAAGTATTTAAGTGTAAAATCAGCGGGAGCCACATGCAAAAGTGCAGAGCCCAAGAGTCATTTCCACACACGATATTTTCACCTGCGTACATGAGCACTCACACAGTTTTAATGATCGCGTACAAAGATCCATGATTCCGCTGGCCGTTTGCAGGGAGCGGGCCGTCGAGTGCGACGGCTACCGGCGGCGGTACAGCGGCCACCGCAACAGCGCCACCTTCAAGGGCGTGGCGTTCTTCGGGCCGCGCAGCCAGTACGTGGTGTCCGGCTCGGACTGCGCGCACGTGTACGTGTGGCACGCGCGCAGCGAGGCGCTCGTGCAGTGGCTGCACGCGGACGCCAACGGCGTGGTGAGCTCGCCTCTACGGGGGGAAATCGGCTCGAGTCACTGGCTGCCTTGGACTCTATGGAGACGCGGTCGGAAACGAGTGGTTTCGTTGGTGGCCGGTTGAAACCAACCTCACAAAGCTTGGACACAGGCGTAGAGAAGCCAGCCTCTCGGTTCTTGATGCGGTTTAGAGTGTGCGTTGGAGTTGCACGATCTGATTCCTCCCGCCCCTTACCATCATCGGACAACTAGGCGTTCGGTGGGGCTCCGCCCTTATGATGTCGACGTTCCACACAAAAGAACAAAACGATTCGTTTCGTCATTTATCATTCGTACAGCTAAGGAATGGAACAACCTGCCGGCGTCCGTCTTTTCGTCCGATTACAACGTAGGCCTCTTCAAGGCAAGAGTGAATAGGTTTTTGCTGAGCTAGGTTGGATGATAGTCAATTGCTGGCCAGTTTTGAATTAAAAAAAACATCATCATCCTCCTACTTTTATCCCATCTAAGCAAGATCAACCCCATAGTCCCAACCTCATAAAGTAGGACTAAGATATAAGAGAAGTGGTCTTGAGCTGTTGCGAAATGGTGATGGACTCGAGGAGGGATTATATACCAATAGAACCAACACGACCAACAATAATTGTCGAAATTTATCACAATCTTATCTCTATCTACTTTACCCTATTATCTAGATAATATAACAAATATTACGGTATTTAATCAGAATAACATTCTGATGCCTTTTGAAATGACAATTTTTTTTTTTTTATGCGAAAAGTTGTCAAACGAGCAGACAGTTCACCTGATGTTAAGTGAATACCGCCGCCCATGGACATCTGCTACACTCGAGGGTTACAGATGCGTTGACAACCTTTTGAAAATTGGGCTCCAGCTACCTCACTCACCAGACGAAACGCGAAAGTATTTGTCATACTTCCACTTTACGCCGGTCTTCTGTGAGGTCGTGGTACTTACCCGGACGGGCCTGCCCATTCGTGCAACAGCCGAGGCTGCTGCTGCGTGTAATACAACATTTATTGCAAACAGTGGGTTAATTTATTAAATACAACAAATCTATTCAGACATGCGTAAAGGTCTTTTTTTATGTGATAAGATGGTACGCGAGCTGGCGGTTCACCTGATGCTAAGTGATGGCCGCCGCCCATGGACACTTGCAACACCCATATGGTTGCAAAGGCATTGCCACCTTTTAATGAAGTCGGCCCCGGCTCCCTCAGTGACTAGATGAAACGCAGAAGCATAATAAGTAATTTGGCTTGGTTATGTTACTGTGATAGAATACGACAGAAGCTTTTGCAGCATGGGAACACTTGTTCGACACCCCAGCGTCACAAAAGTTAACAGAAAGTGGAAAAATCTTACATTCGCACGGGTATTGTGGACATCCTGTAGCACGGTAATCACTTAACGATGCGTAAACCGCCAGCTTGTTTCCATCTTCTCAAACACAGAAAAATAAACCACATAAATAAAATAAACACATAAATTACAATTTGAAAAAATAGTGGTAAGACCATTTTCTATGTATAATATATTTCATTTATTACAATATGATGATAATTATATACATGGAACAAATAAATATGTAAAGGTTATCTTAAGTGGATATTCTAAATCTCCATTTTTTTCCTTTGGGGCTGACATGATAATATATGTTTTTTATGTACATTATATACTACTTGTCAGATAATTATCAAAATGGTATTCCCCTATAAATCAAATCATAATTGCTCAATAATACTTTGGCCAACATTGGACAAGCAATGTTACATGACAAGCAATATTCATTTAACTTATTTCTTATCCATTTATTAAAGTAAATTGAAAAAAGAAATTATACATTCCATATGTTATTGCTTCATTGCCTTAATTAAAAGGCTCAATATGTGTATATCGAATTTTAAGAAAATAAATAACAATACTATGACAGTTTTGAAGCAGAATACATAGCATCTATAATGGAAAATTAATATATAATATTATTAATAAGGTTTTCACATAGTAACTATTGTTGTATGTAAGTTTCTAATACAATCAAATTTCTTTTACAAGGTGAACTGCATTGAAACGCACCCAAGGTTCCCTGTGCTGGCCACGAGCGGCCTGGACAGAGATGTCAAGATCTGGATGCCGAAGAGTCACAAGGATCCCGACTACGATGGCATGGAGAAGGTGATTAATCGCTGCTTGACTTTTTCTGCTACCGAAGATTCGAAGCTTTATTATATAATTTGAATTCAAACTCCCGACCCGAGGCCATAAGTAACTGAGCTATCAAATACTAATTTAATTGCAATATAAAGTTTGTGTTGAAGATTGTATATATGGCCGTATATTTAATATTACTTTTTACCCGACTACACCAGAAAGAGGGTTATGTTTTTCGATAGTATGTATGTATTTATGTATAATTGTTTGGCACGCTCTGCAGCCTGAACGGCTTGATGGATTTTAGGTGTCGTTAGATTCGTATTTACTGTGAGAGTGACACTGGGTATATCAAAATAAAAAAATTACACAGAAACGCAGTCGGGTTTTTTTGTTTTCTTTTATTATATTCTTTCGAAACGCGGTATGCAAATTTTTTCCATATGTCACTAAAGAGTAAACTTTAAATTTGCAAATGAAATAATCATATACATCCTCCTTCCACAGATTATCCGCGAGAACAGCATAACACAACGCAGCCCCTTATTCAACGATTTTTTACCTACACTATATAGCGCGTGGCGCAGCGAGAACAGACTGTTTTCGGACGAAGACCCGCCCGCGTTCGGGGGCAACATCGACTTCGACGGGAACGCGTGCACCGCCTTCTAGTATTAATTCAACTCCCGCCAAATCAGTAGGCATTGGCGCAAACACATGTGTTACACTTGTGGACGCCTGCAGTTCTACGTGCCGCGAGAGAAGACGCGTAGTTATTTCGTTGTTTAATACGCTGCGGTTTGTGCCCAACGTGCTAGGTAGAAGTTTCATTGGCAAATCGACACGCATAGGGTGTGTTATATATGATACTACTTAATGTTGCAATGTATGCTCTTTAATATGATGCAGGCCAGGATTTGATTTCTTTACAACGATACAGCAGATTGAATATGGCATGAAAACAGCACATGATAATCTGATTGAATTTATAGCACGCAATATACATACTTTAAATTAATGTTAAACAGAGGCTGTTGAGGCAAACGTTTACATCACGAATTCTTTGAAAACTAGACCAAATTTGGACTTCTAAAGTTTTTACAGGAATTCTTCTAAGGATGGACATAGAAAAATGTTTCATATTTTTCGAGTATGTAAGTTGTATGCCTGAATGAAGAAACTAGGAAGGTAGTATTATGGATAATTACACTGCTATGATTCTGAATGTAGCATTAATTCAATTTAAAAACCCCCATAATATTGGAAAGCATACTGTATAATCTCCATTCTATCCCTTTTACATTAGACAATTTATAATTATATATTCATCTGCTTCTGTAAGTTATAATGGTCAGCAAACTTTTTTCAGTTTTTAATTGATTGTTGTTTTGAAAATTACTTGTTTCACTTGTTGGCTACCTTTAATCGTAAAATTTTAATACTCAATTGAATTTATCACTACTATGGGTATTAAGTAATTTCTAGTATCATAAAAATTAACGAAATGTTTGCCTTATTACTTACTTAACTTTCATACATTGTCTTAAAAATCTTGATGAGTACTAAAATATCAAAATAGTCAATATTATCATTTTGGGAAAAAATGTTTGCCTTATAATTTCATCTACCACATCCTAGTTATTTACATATAGTATTTATATATTTAAATGTTCTGCGATTTTGTTATTTAACAATTATATAGACTCTTGTTTGAATAATAGTTGTAAATTTAAAGTTATGTTTGTAAATAAATTTGCTTCTCATACTAGTGTAGAAACTTTGCTTCATAAAAATATGGCAATTATGGTACATTAGGACAAACTATATCTTGTTCACAGTTATGTTAACTATCGTCAAAAATCATGTATTCCATTTGTTGCATTGTTATTTTTAATTTGAATAAATGGTGATAGATTTGTTATCCTGTTTACAAATTATATCATCTCTGCAATACATCAATGGTATCTCAAATTATGTAATAAAAAGCTAATGTTGTCTAAAATATTTTATTGCTTATTATTGCTTTTTACATTTCGTACTGAGAATAATATTCAAATCATTAAAAAATATGAGGTAAAATATAATTTATTGAATACCCCTTTTTTATTCTTCGCGTATTAATAGAAAACTATTAAACTTATGAAAGTAAAAAAAAAAATAAAATTATAATACTTTCCCTTATACCACAAAAATAATCAATCCTTTTGTTTCTAGTTAGTAGTAAATTATTCTCTTATTTCAGTTTTGCAATCAGAACATATTCTGTATTAAATTTCTATCTAAAGTATTATAATATAAAAATATTTTTTAAATTAATCTATTTAAAACTAGGAAGTTTTAGGCAGCAAGCTGCATATACCAGTACCAAAATCCTTTAAAATAATTTTATGTCAAAATGTAATTTTTTAAAATAAACAAAATTAGATTTTTAAATTTCATATTGTAACAAATGGTATCCACGCATGCATTCTCTTACCATTGTTTTATTGTTGACTAGTATCTTACTACAATTTATGAGGCACATTATCTTTGTTTTTCCTAATTTTGTAAATAAACGATAATTTTAGTAGCTGACGCATTTTTATTTTCTTTTCTTTACGTAAACTAATATATGACCAATTCAGCGAAATTTTTTCTATATTCAAAGACATGAAAGGAATAAAATACGTATTATATTTTTTAGTTTAATACAGTTTCTCGAAAATCAAAATACATTCGCCTGTCCAGTGTCCACGAAAAAGTTTCAGTTTCCCGCTAATAATATTTTAGTGATGCCAGCGCCACGTAGTGTTCATAGTATGAACCGATAGTGATTTCAGCTCATGTTTTTCTGTCTTCTTTTGAAATATGTAGGATGAAGTTTAAGTTTTGTGACATAGAATGAATATTAATGCAGTTTAACACAATATGAGTAACTTTCAAGTATAGTAAATGTTTTAATTGTGAAAATACGTTTAAAAAAAAATACCCACATGCTAGTCAAAGATTGTTAATGGCGAACGATTTAGACCAATCAGAGAAGCCGCGTGTAGAAGCCCGCGCCATCTTCGTTTTCGAACTCATCTCCATCGTACCCGCCCGCTCACTCGATCAGTCGGTCGCGCGTCGGTTTGGAGTAACCATCACTTAGCTTACTATTTCTAGTAATTAACACCAAAACCAGAACAATCATGAGCACCAATGAAAATAACAGTGAAGTGGCCGTTGACAAGGTCGCAGACGAGAAAACTGGAGATGCGAAAAGTGACCTAAAAGGAGCCAAAAGGGCAGCGGAGGTGAGTGCACATGTCAGACCAAAATGTATTCATTTTAGTCGCTCGCCATTTTATTGAACGCATGTAATATAGGGTAATACAATACATAAAATTTTCAGTTCTTATGTTTATATACCACGTGCTTACAAAATGTGCATTATTTGTGCCCTAAACATTTGATGTGCCGGCATATTTTCGGATGTCCGATGTACTACACAACCTGGCTTATGCGGTAATGGATGAGTCAATGTTGTTATAAGTTATATTCATTATATGAAATTTTGGGATCTAAAGATCCTGCCTGTTCAGCATTTCTAGCGATTTTTAGCTTTGTTTACCCAATTTCGATATGAAGGCATGACCTTGGCAGAAAAAAATATGGCGCGGGAACGTACGCTTGTCCTCGATGACGATGATTCGCTCATTATTTCGAACCTAAACTACACTCTGAGGACTTTCATATACGGCGAGTAGGATTACTTTAATTGTTTTTTGCTAAATGCCGTTTCACTATTTTTACCAACTTTCGTAGGCCGGTTTATAATCATGAAGCGTGACGCTAAATGGTAACATGGCCGGCGAATGTCAATGTGTCTAGCGGTGCTGTCATAAGTAGTATTCACGCCGCGAGAAGTGTTATTAATATCATTCGCGACTTTTCCTTTTAATACTAGGTAACACAAAGTCTTAATTTTCTACGCCGTTGACGCATTTAAAGCATCGAAACGCTGCAGTTAGCACAATTGTGCGCTTTCATATTTTGGTTATGCGTTGCACAGAAAAGTAGTCAATGACCCGGCGTTATTTGCATGTAGGTGTTTCGCATGTAGTAGTGTTGAGGCGTCCTTTGTTCTACAGCTTACTGTTAATTGAATTTAGGAAACGAATTATTTAGGCGGGAACCGTGAAAACTTTTTATTTGTTTATTGTCAAAAGCAGAGATATCGTCTTGCATCTCTGTCGCACCTTTTCCACCTAAATTCAACTAAAGGAACCTACTGCTCAAACCTAATTTAAAATACTTTTGAAACGAATCCGTCCTTCTTTTAAGCATTTTATTGAATTTATATAATATTAAGCCTAGTCAACCAGAAATAAACATTAGCTTAACGCGTACGGCAAGCTGTGGCGTCTCTCGAGTTCACCTCGTGTAGTAAATTGCCAGGGCAAACTCGGCTTTATGACCGATCCGGCACTTAGCTTTTCTCGTTCCCCCACATTAGAACCCCGCTACTTATTCACGTGAATTCTTCCCTTCTGCGACTCCATTATCTTTTACGGAATACGCTTTTTTTAGTTTTGGATAATAGCCAGATATTGACTTTATTTTGTGAAATTTGATCATTTGACACTTATAATTTACTTATTTTAAACTTTCCCGCCATTTTTTTCTTCAAAGGACAAAGCGACGGAAGCGAAAAAGGCGCGAAAAGAAGAAAATGGCGGCGGAGACGACGAGGCGCACAGTGAAGAGGACGATTTGGAAGAAGGCGACGGTGAAGAGGAAGACGACGAGGAAGTATACGAAGGAGAAGTAGACGAGGAGGAGCTAGAAGGTGAAGAAGACGACCTCGAAGGTGATATATTCAAATGGATTCAGTTTTTTTGTACCATATTTACTATTTGAATAAATAGAATATCGATAAAAATTTTTCAACATCCGTTCTCTGTTGTTGCAGATGAAGAGGTCGAGGAGGAATTATTAGGCGAAGAGGAAGAAGAGGATGCGTAATACGCCGCGTAGCTCTTTAAGGACAATGTCACAGTGAAGTGTTAGTGCACGTGACGGCCCGGACTGGCGCGGCCCCGCCTCGCCCCAACTGCTACGGTGCACCCTTATATTGGACGAAGGACGGGGTTGCATTGGCTCCGATTACGAACCCCCCCTAAGCCGCCGTGGCCTTACTCCACAATCCGTTCAATAATTTCCTCTTATGAATAGGTAGCCTCAATTTTATTGACGTTTACAAATAAATATAGATTGGTAGCGTTGCGTAATTATAGCGCCATAGTTGTTTACGAATCGGTCTCGCGATTGGATCCGTTGAAGGAATCGACCGGTGTGAGGGTGCACCGTCAGCGAACAACCACAACACAGCGGCAGTTGGGAACACGCGGGGCCGTCGACGCTCCCACCTAGAACGGGTTGCAGTTCTATTTAAATGACAAGAAAAAAAAAAACGTAATTAAGTCTAAATACAATGCAGATTCAATTTTTTTACAATGTTTTAAGTTCGGAACAGAAGCTGTCTACATTTCGCGGCTAGCTGGCTAATAATTAAGACTTAGTGGAATGCTGTTGAATTTTTGTCATGAAATGTACAAATGTGTTTTTTCTTTTTGAAAGTAAACCTTATATTCTAAGTGAAATGCTCTGTATTTAGAGGTAAACCTTGAGTCCGTTGTTATATGGTGAAGTTGTGATATTTTTCTATAAAGAAGCATCTCTTTTCAACTGTAAGCAATATTAAGAACTTTGATACTTTACTATATTAGTAGAAGATAAGCAGTAAGTCACATAGCTCAACTCCCTCATTCCCTTTTTTATTTGGTCGATGAGAGATTGTGTGTACATATTAGAGTAAGTGAAGCCTGGGATTTTGTTAGCACACTAAGTGATGTTAACGTGTTGTGGTCATTGCGTTCAGGTACACCATTTCTTTTTAATTTCCTCGCAAGTGCATCCCATGATAGCGCTAAGTCGCCGCGCCGCGCTCGAAACTCCTTCCGCCGCAATCTTAAATTAATATACCACCACCGAGTAAGTTAATCGGATCGCGTCGAAATCGATCGGGTCTCGGGAGTTTGGAGTCGGCACGACGGCACTCGTCGGCGCAGGGGCCGCGCATTTCTAGTGCACCCGAACGACCGGCCACAGCTGACAGTGGCTCGCTAAAAACAACGCATCAAACAATAACCGAGAGCGTACCCTCGTTTCACACCGCGTGTCTGGTTACAACTCGGCCGGTGGCCCCGTGTGAACGCAGCCCAAGAGACGCGGCGACATTTTTATTAGGAAAACATCACAATTTCGCCATTATCTCCCTCGCAAAGAGCGCGCCGGTCGACTGATAAATAAACCGCTTCAGGCGGCCGACGCGCCGCGACACCGATATACAACAGCCCCCCCAGAGCCGCCGGCCCGTTATTTTGTCCATATTATTGTTAAATTAGGATAGGAGCCTATCTGTTTCGGTCGGTATTCCAGTTTCGTGGTTGGTTGGGTGGTGTGGAATGATAGAGATTCCTAGATTATATACAAGTAATTTTAGTACGTTATAACTTTGCGGGGACGGGACGCTCTCGGGAAGTCTGCGGGTCGAGGGGAGTGGAGCGCGCGTCAGTGCGCCCCCACCCCCCTCGCGCCGCGCGTGGCCTCGTTCGATTTGCCGCGCGCCGGCTTGGGTCCCCCTTCCCTCCCCGCGCCCCGCGTCCCGTCGGCGTCCGGCGGCCGCCCGCTTACCGCGGTGCGGTGACGCGTTCCCGCGCGTGGAAAATAACCGCCGGCGCGGCGTCCATTGCCGCCCCGGCGCGTCGTCGACCGCGCGGCAATGGACGCGTCGCGTCGTCGCGCCTCCGTGTACCGCTCGCACCGCGACCCCGCCGTCTGACGCCGACCGCCGCCTGCACGCCACAATGGCGGGCGGACGGAGCCGCGCGCGCTGTACTTTTTCACCCGGCTCTACTGACGCAGACTGCGGGGTGGACTTCGAGCATTTTGTCGAAGTGCTCCACCGCCGATCGTGTGCCCGATGGGAGCAAACTTGTTTTTTTTTTCATTAGCAACAATTGACATTGAGCAAAATAAAAATGAGAAATTGAATTGAAATATCTTATGAATTAATCCTATCGTCTCCCGCCTTTCGTTTTTGGTAAGAATGCACTGTTGCATATTTTGTACGATGTACGTCTAATGTGAATACCTTAGTACGATTTTATTTATTTGTGATGTTGAACACTATTGATTTTCTACTATGGACGAAATGTAAATACAACCGATTTTAAGTAAAACGTTATTTTGTTTCTCCAGCTTATTTATTTGTCCCCGAGAGGTTAAAGATGAAAACTGATAGAACCTACCTCGCACACTACGAGTACAACTTTTAAAGATAGCGCTATAAAAATAAATTGCGCAACATTTATATAGAGCTCTGACGATACAGGCGCGTTCATATCGGATAACGCGATTGAAGAATAATCTGACGACATTGATCCTTGCATAGACTTGCTGAAAAAGTAATATTTTGCGACTTAAATAAAAACTCATAAAAATTCCAACCCTCTAACCTACGGGTACATAATACAAAAAATTTTGATCTAAATATTACAAAGAACCTATTTTTAATAAAACGTACGAGTCCTTGTTACCCCTGTCGATACGCTGCATCTGTGACAAGGGTGCTTTAAATTGGGGGAGTACAATCTAGGGTAGGGGTCCTACTTCCGGATGCCATATTATTACTTTACTAAATATGTATAACATCGTTCGTAGGTATAACATAAATGTGAGTCTTATGTTCGGTTTTTGTGAAAACGTTTTGTTGAAAGATGAGATTCGTATTTCCGTATGAATATGTTAATCGCATTCTTTGTAGACATTTAACGGTAAATCTCAAAATGCGGTTTACGCGTGTGCATACAACTTTATTTCACTACCAACGACATCTGTGGAAAAGATTTTAAGCATTACAAAAATACGTAAAGAAGTAACTATAGATGGCAGTGAAGTAATTTAAACATAAAGTAAGTTTTTGTTATCTGTAGTTACTTTTAAAATAATGGCGATTATTTTAAACTAGGCTTAGTACAACCGCGGCAGTTATTATAATAAGTACAGAACTTGTGGATGGGATGATGAGAAAATTAGATTTTGAATTCGTTTTGTTTTCTTTGGTACCGAACTTGAAGCTATTATCATGCAGTCTGCTCTCAAACCCCAAAACCGTTTGTAGCACCACCTACCCTGACTAGAAAAATAACGTTAATTTTCTAGTCATAACTTGATTTTTTGACATAAAAAATGAAACTATTTTTACGGATTTATCGCGTTTGTTTAATTTTAATTCCCGACGTTTCGAACCCTTTACAGTCCTCATGGTCAGGACAGACGGAGGCGTTGGACATCTGAATGTCATAGTTAACCCGGGCTATCATCAGTTGTTAATTTATTAATTTTGTGCTCGATTTATGCAGAAGGATCTAATTGTATCTTGTCTTGCAGTAGTCATTCGTTCTGGCCTAGATTGAATTTTATTAATGATATGATCCCAGGCTGATGGTAGCACCCAACCCTCCTCTATTAAAATAAGGGTTTTTTTATTTTAATAGCCTCCCGAATCATCCTTGGGAGGAATCGGTGTTCTTCTGGTAGGATCTGTGGTCTGTCAAACCTGATTTAGTATTGTAGGATGATTCAGTATGGAGGCAAAGTATATGGCCCTGTCTGAATTTTGCAAAGAAGCAATACATCGAATAGATATATAAAATGAATTGATTAATATTGATAAAAATGTAACTCTCTGTATTAGTAGTGAAAATCAGAGTTCTATGATACTAGCAACTAATCCTTTGTTTCATAATAAACGGACCAAACATATCGATATAAGACACGATTTTGTAAGAGAATGTGTTTCATCTAGGTAATTAGAAATTAATTATGTTTCAACCTCGAACATGCCAGCAGATATTTTTACAAAAAGTCTGGGTGCGGAGAAACATTATAAATTTTTGAAATTTATTGGCATGTCTGAAATTAAATAAATATTTTAAATATTTTAGGAATTTAGATTATTTTGTTAGGTCGGGCTGTAAGATATTTGCTTCACAAAATAATATTGTACGTCCATCAGCGCCATCTGCTTAAACTATAGTTATTTATGTCTATGGTTACGTCTTTGGTGTTGTCTATTAAAATAGTAGGTACTTTAAAAGTAGTAGTTGATTTCGAACTACAGTAGTGTTTTATTAATTTAGGGTGTGCCTGTGCTCACAAACTGCAGACTTGTTTGATCTACTATGTTTTACGTCATATGTTCCTTCATGCGCGTTTTTATTGCTACTTTTGTTTGTCCTATGAGAGACATCTTGCAGTGGAATATTGCACTTGACCGATGGTAACAAGTGACTAATCTTATGCTGTGGATTGTAGAATGTGTTAATTGGAGTCTGCTTCAAGATATAGCAAATCTTTTTTTTTATGTGAAAAGTTGCCAAGCGAGCAGACGGTTTACCTGATGTTAAGTGAATACCGCCGCCCATGGACATCTGATACAGCCGAAGGTTACAGATGCGTTGAAAACCCTTTGAAAATTAGGCTCCGGCCACCTAACTCACCAGACGAAACGCGATAGTATTATACTACCACTTTACGCAGGTCTTCTGTGAGTGCGTGGTACTTACCCGGACGAGCCTGCCCATTCGTGCAACAGGCGGGGCTGCTGCGTGAGCCTTTTTTTTTTTTTTTTTTTTTGGTATCGGGGGGGAAATCTTCAAAAGATACCCTGTCACTTTACATGACAGGGTTATGTGGGGTTCTTACCCACTAAAACCCCCTCGGTGGCCACCTTCTGTACATTTGGAGGGACTCCGGGATCTCCCATGGAACGCACCGGTGTCCCTCGGTACTACGCCTGAGCACGCCTCGGAGAAGGATAAACCTTCTCCAATCCCCTCATCCTCTTACAGCAACACGAGACCACTTCGTGCTGCTGCCCATCCGTGTCCCCTTTTAGTCGCCTTTTACGACAGGCAGGGGATACCTTAGTCCTATTCTATAAGCCCGAGACTACAGGGCCGACGGAGCGCCTCGTCCGTTTCTACCACCCGCGCGCCTTCGTCTCCGAGCGGGGTCGGCCCTCTCCCGTTCCCGCTCAGCGATCTCCTTCTGGAGCATGACTGCTTCGCAGAAGGAGACCAGTGCCGTCCAAGCAGATTTCTCCATCAGTGCAGCCGCCACTGCAACTGGTGGAGAAAGGTCCTGCCCGATCTTTTGGACCAGGATCCGACGTTCTGACTCCCAAGCGGGGCACTCTGCAAGAGTGTGTTGCGCGGAGTCCCGGTCCCCACCACAATGGTGGCATTGCGTTGTCGGTTCGCGTCCAATTCTATTTAGGTACTCACCAAAGCATCCGTGCCCGGTGAGCACCTGCGTCAACCGGAAGGTGACGTGCGCGAATCCCCTCGCACTTAGCCAGGCTTCGAAGCTGGGCAGGAACGCAGTGACGATTCGTTGGCGCAAGTTCCGAGCTTCTCCCAAGCGCTCGCGCCAAATCTCCAACCCGCGTGTACGCTCCTGCTCCCGCACCTCTCCCGCATCCAGGGGCTCGGCATCATCCTGAGGTAACCGGAGGCGAGTATAAACTCGCGCATCCATCTCCGCCAGGATGTCCAGTGGTGGAAACCGAGCAAGGATAGTGGCCGCCTCAAAGGATATCGTTCGATACCCTCGTGCGATCCTGATGGCTATTCTTCGCTGCAGGCTATAAAGTTTAGACCTGCAGCGTCGGACACCCGTTAGTCGGTGAGACCATACGGGCGCCCCGTAGAGGGCCATCGATCGCAAGACTCCCGCATAGAGGCGGCGAACTCCCTCCCTGGGGCCCCCGAGATTAGGCAGTAATTTGTGCATAGCACCTACTACCTTCTCGATACGGGGGGCCAAGCGATTGAAGTGCTCTTCGAAGCCCCAGCGACTATCCAGAGTGAGACCAAGATATTTCATCACCGGTCTCACCTGGATCTGCACGTCACCCACGCGAACCGACCAACTGGGTGGATCCTTTCCTCTTCGAAGTTTATGGAACCACAGCGCCTCGGTCTTATGAGGCCTGCTGCGTGAGCCTACCACCGTAACAGATTCTTGTCGGTGATTCCTATGATGTATGGTAGGACAGCAGATACTTGCTCCACTATGGCTGTTTTCACTCGGTCACTGTGACGTAGACGCGGTGCTGGAACCGTGTTGTCATGTAGACTGTAGAACTTGCTTGACATGTTGTATCTCTGTGGCCAGGTGTTCCTGGTCACAGATCCCTTGTGCTCTCTGAAACAAAGATTTACCAACGGTAGATTATTACGATGGATGGTGATGAGAGTCGATATTTAGTTATCTATTTGTATGGGTTGCCTTCCTATTGGTAAAATTCAGTGGCCGGTATCAATCCAAATAATTATTCGGAACATAACCCGTGATAAATGCGATAGAACATGCGATGATCCAACATCACTACGCAGATCCAAAGAATCAAGTTGATCCGAAAGGGCCCTACGTTGAATGCGGTCCAATGGAAGTAGGTGGTACTGAGGTGCCCCCGAGCCGACCTGAGATGGGAAGAGTGCTCCTTGTGGGGCCGAATTTGCGCCTTATAGAGTATTAGGCTTTAGTCGACGTGAAGTACTGTCTCGCCTTGCTGAGCACACCAAACTTCTTTGAGGCCAGTTTGAGGCCCTACCTTCCAATTGAACGTGGAACTGGACTTTGCTCGAAATGTCTCTGTTCTCAAAATGAAGAGTAACGCCAAATGGTAACTTTAAGGCCGCAAACTTGTGTCTTTTTGGACTTTAATTTGAGTAAATTTAGTCGACCATAGTCTGAAACTGGTCAACAAAGACTCGGCTTCAGGTCCAGAACTGGACTGTTCAGTCACCAAAGAAATTGGCCTCAATCACACAATAAAAGGCAAAGCCGTGAGGCAGTATTCGCTTGTTTTTTTCCTTTTATGTTAGTAGGTGGCAAGTGAGCTGGCGGTCCTCCTGATGTGAAGTGATAGCGGCCGCCCATTGGGATTTGCAACACGCGTAGGGTTGCAGATGTGTTGCCACCTTATAATATAGTGGATCCTCACTCACCACACGAAATGCAAAAATTTTATCCTTCCATTTCACACTGGTCTTCTGTGAGGTCGTGGTACTAATCCGGATGGACCTGAAATTTTTGAAACCATATACAGTCAAACGTGTATAAGTGAGGACTGGGTAAGCGAGAAAACTTATGTGAGAGTAACTGGTCCCGCCAATTTTTGCCTCTAAAACCTCTATGTATGAGAAATAGAAGCCTGTATAAGAGAGTCTTTGCACCTCAGGTATTTGTGCGAAGGCCTGTATAACTGAGACTGATACCTGTTTATAACTATAAAGAAAGGCGAGCATCAGTAAAAATTGATTTTACACCCACGGGTCAAAGGAATAAAAAAAAATTGCTTACAACTTTGGAAAATGAAGTAAATCTCACAACAACCACAAAAAGTACTAAGGATAAACCAATGATTTTTGCCAGAGTCTAGAAGAGTATGGCTAACATGTTAGATAGCGATAATGACGATTAATATTAGATATGAAAACTCATTTGCTCATACAGTAAGTGTCACTAAATTATTGGCAGATTAACAGTAAAAAGTTTGGAGGTCTTAGTCATACGACTTGCCGACCCGATTGATGTGAGGAGAAGGTAGTGAACCCGCCTCCCGCGCCAGAGTTTTTCTAGTGTCTGGGTGTTTATATATCTATAATATGTATTTATTTACAAAAGAAAAGTATGTTTATCAGTTTTCTAGTACCCATAGTACAAGCGTTGCTTAGTTTGGGACTAGAAAATGTTGTGTAAAAATGTGTCATAAAATATTTTTTTTATATTTAATTTACTTAATCAGAATTATCATTTTAGATTACGATTAGGATCCGCAAAATTGTAGCGGATACGGATACGTCTGTGATTAATTTTATATAATTTTTTTTGTGAGTCACATTTATCTTTATATACAGCGTGTCGTTACCATCGCGACAATAAATGAACACACGTCTAACGCTACTTGCCAATTATCATAAAAAATAATAACGTTAAACAAAATCCATAATTAAAAAAAATATTTTTCAAACAAACTAATGAAGTAAAAAAGAAACAAAATTTGTAACATCCTATACAATTCGCGCCATAGCGTCGTATTACAAGCCTCGCCTTCTAACAGTATGTTTTGTCTCTTTTAAATTCATTCAACCCATTCATATGCTTTGTGACCTTTACAAATGAACTTTACGTTACAGTTTTATGCGTAAGGGTGTTCTAAAATTGTTTGTTTTGTAAAATTTAATAACTCGGTAAATATTGATGTTTGAAGAATGTTAATGTTTAATAAAATTTAAAAAAAGTTATCCTCTATATGTATGTTCATTTATTGTCGCGGTGGTAACGACACGCTGTATATATTTTCTGTACGTATGTCACTGAACTCCTAAGCGGCTGTTTTACTTTGAAATGTGCTATATTGATCATGAATAAATCTATACTCCAACTAACCGATTTTCGGGTGGCTGTGTGACCACATCCTTTTTAGAGGATTGGATCCGCACCTGGATGTTGTGGTAGAGTCAATAACATAATGTTAAATATATAATATAGATTAAAATATATAATATAGATTTGGAGCTTTTCGTTGATGTGACGCGTTGACTGGAATTAGCATTAAGTGTAAAATTTTATGTGGTCACCATATTGTTTCTTCAAAACAACTAAAAAATAAAATTCCTTTTAAAAAAGTTTTCCGAATTTTGATGCCTGCAAAGTGCTAGAGAAAATAGATCATTATTACAGTAAAAGCTTGTGCAGACGTTCTGCACTTCTTTAACGCAAATTCTAAAGTGTTTAAATCATCGAATCTAATGTCACATGTCATCTTATCTTATGCAGTGGACTGATATATGATAAACTCTTTAAGAGCACTCAGGATTTACGGGGCTAAATTTACTTAATACTGTAATACACGAACATCCGCAAATCCATATGCATCTATGTGGGTTTACAAAAGATGTGTCAAATTTCACAACTAGGTTTATATTTGTATGTAGCTTAAGTATGTTTGTTTATCTTTAATGATACAATTGTACCGTTTCAACTGGGTTAAGTACGGTATCTTTCAACTTGGAGTACAGTGTAAGTGTAATCAAAATCGGTTCAGATGTTTTCAATAATTATGTTGACTCTAAGGACCTGGAAAAAGCACACCGTCGGGTTTACGCCGCAACTCTACGGGATTATTTTTACTCGCATTTTATTTAATATGATTGTTATCAGAATTGATTAATGGTTATGACAACGAAAAAAGAATCCTTGTTCATCGTCATCGTCCTTTCAGCCTATTTGAGTCCACTGCTGATATTGCCTTCCCCCACATACTGCCACGAAGCACGTTCCTGTGCCACCTGCATCCATCGACATTCGTAGTGGGAGATCGTCCTACACCAGTGAAGGAACAAGTCTCAGTTCCGTATGTCATCAATGGCAACACACATTGATTGAAGGCTTTCGTCTACAAACATTGAGGGATACTGGGCGAGTTATCCTGTTATTCCATAAAAATAGGATTTTTATACATTAGGTGCTAGCTTAGGATTTGGGGAAAATAGTACAAGTATGAAGATTATTT